AATGTTGAGATAATATTAATAATAACAGTCACTAAAGAAGATATATAGTTTTTTAGTGTATAAAGTGTATAACATATCTTAGTGGCCGACGCTTATAGAATTGTAATATATTAATAAATATATTTGTCTGAATAATTAATTAATTTTGTGTTAATTGCGTTCAGCAATGAAAATCACCAAACAATTAGCATATTTTTAACAAATTTATTAAAGACCTATTGTGGCAGCAAATATTGGAATTCGTTGAAGCGAGGCTTGAACTCTAATTGTACGTACTAAATGATTAATTTAAATCTATTTATTCAGATTAATGGTTTATAATAGCTTTCCATATACGAGTACTGTGTGAAAAATAAAAATGATTAAAATAAACCAAATTCACACTAATTTTTCTCGTAATAGATTTACGGCACTGGTCATGTACTGTCTTAGTCCAAGGGAAAAACTCGATTTAGATATCAGTATGTTGTCTCTTACAAAGATTATTAAATAACAAAGAAAAAAGTTAATCCATAGGTATAAGTTATACGTAAAAGTAAAAATTGTCTGTCTGTGATTTAAAAGAAGCGATTTCATATTGAGCTTTATGTAAGCTAATGCCAACCAAACAATCATTGAAAAATCTTTACCTGTTTGTGCCCACTAATCTCAGGTACGGCTGAACTGATTATAAAACTACTTTTATTTGCAAATTTAAATGACAGTAATCTATGCTATATTATTCCGGGAAAAATTTCCTCTAATCATCTCGATAAGACTGACGAACTATATAATTTTTATATGCGAGGTGAAATGTAGCATGAGAATGTGAGAATAAAAATATACAACATTCACGATTTCTTGTGCATATGTAATTGTATACCTATAACTATATAAACAATTTTTGTGATCATTTTGAGGAATATTCAAATTTTTGTCTTCATATATTCAATCGGGTTCCCTTCTCATTTTTCAACAGACAATATCATAAGTCTCAAAACCTTTTTATACAATAAACCTTTGTCATACCTTTACGAATACAGGTGTTGTTCTTATTTTTGAAAATCTTGATTTTTGTATACATAAACTTTTACATAAAATATAAACTGATAATATGAATAAAAAGATTTGAGAGTATACACGAGTCGTTGGTTTGTGATAAATTAGTTCGCGTAATGCCATCAATCATGGAAGGCGGGCGGTACAAAGAAAGGATAAGATTTAATAAATATATAGGTTTTTAACAAACACCCTAGTAATGAAATTATATTTTAAATGTTTTTCATAAAATTTGTATTGACACGATTCTGTCTTCAATTTTTATCTTTTCAAATTCTATTTAGTCCAATCGGAATCCGGTTTGGTTAAAATAATATTTAAGCCTGAAGTTTTATGATTTTAAAACGTTAGCAGGTATATAAGAAATAGAAATTCGTAAAATGCCCCCGATGCCCAGCTACCCCCGAGAAACAGGGGGACGCAAAGCTTTGAAAAATAGTTTTTTTCAATTTCCGGCTTACTGTGACGTTCTATCGTAAAATGTTTCCTATAACAGTTGTATGTTTAGTCTAGTAAAAATCTACAATTTTTATAGATGGCACTTTTTACAGTAACTTCAAAGTTTTTGAGATATTCAAGATCTTTCAAATCTACTCTTTTAAGCATCAACATGACAAAGAATATTATTATCTAATACATATCTTAAATTTTAATCTTCCATTATAATCATTGATATTGAAACTTAAAGTAGATCAGATATAGTAGGTACTTATTAGGTTATTAAAACCCATCTGCTTCATCGATCATCCGTCAAACTGACTCAACTCTTGTGGTTAGACGCGACTTGAACAATACGTGCGTACGTTCGGTGAAATTACATACAAGATGGATTATACTGCCATAGGGTAAGAATGCAGAAATATACTCGTATAACATACCTACCAGTTATGAATGACATATTATTTAATTTATCCAAAATAAAGAAAATAAAGACGAATTTCATATCGGTGCATTTTTACGACCTGAAATATAAAAAATATATAAAAAAGTCATCTGCGAAAACTAACTTAGACGTCCTGGAATATATTAGAATTGTAAAAATGTTTTTTTTTGTGTTTGGTAAATGAATAAATAAAATAAATAATAATAAAAACATAAAACGTACATAATAAAATCAATTCGACATAACGAAATATTATATTTTTTTATTAAATTCACATTTCGATTTCAATATAAAATACATTAGATATAACTGACCAAAAACATTTTTAAATATTTATGAATAACGAAGAAAAGTTTGTAAGCTTTAGAGATACTAGGTACTACTTTAAATCTCCGGATTAAAATCCTCGTAGAGCCTCAATTCAAACTGACAGAGATAATACCTTGATAAGATAAAGTAATACTGATGAGAAAAGAAATAACTTAATTAGTCCAAACCCAAAAAACAAATTCAGATAATAAACTAAATCTGATGATCTTACACTGTGAAAGATCGTCCTTATCTTTACATTGTTAGAAGCAAAGGGTAGAGAGCATTTTGATAGTACTCAGGACAACAATGTCTTTTTATGTCACCGTGTCTCCATCGGAGCTCGAGTGCGATGGGACGAGTATATGCGCACATTGTCTGCTAGTGACAATCTATTGTGTTTCAAGGGTAATTCAACTCTCTTAATATAAGATGTTATAAGGTAGGGTACAGTTACATCAGACTCTTTCATTCGCGAAAACTTTAGAGGATATGCGTTCATTATTAATTAGTGGTTGCTGCTCGTTAAGGGCCTCTTGACTTCCATTGATAAAGGGATTTTCCAATTATTTAGATTCCTATGACATATTCGAGTGAATCACTTGTTTAGTATGAAAGGCAGACATTGCTTAAAAATTCAATTCTTTGTATATTTTGGGTCTGGAAAAGTATGTCGATACTTTAGGACGTGATCTATGAAGCTATAAATAGTTAGGGTGGTATACTCGTAAAATTAAGTAGGTAAGTACTTTCATATATTTTTATACTTTATTTAAATTTACATATTATTTTTATAAATTATTATTTATCGTATTTTACTATACTTTATTTAAATTTTAATGCTAACTATTTTTAACCCCGACGCAAAAAGAGGGGTGTTATAAGTTTAACGTCGATGTCTGTCTGTCTCTGTGTGTGTGTCTGTCTGTGGCATCGTAGCTCTCAAGTTGCATTATCCATACAAGCGTTTATTACGTAGTACTCGTATATATAAAAATTAACCTTTTAAAGGTTAAAAGCATTCATTAAATTCACAATGAAACTCGATTATTGCTACGTTTGAAAACATCGCTTTTTAATATGAGGATATTTAGGGTCCTTTTAATTGTGACAAAGGGCGCTTAAATTTAATTAATGTTTAAAATTGAAGTATATTTTCATAAAGTATACGTACAAGGGTAAAGGTCCGAGCACGCTCAATCATGAAATGGAGACCTTTGTTCTCCGGCATAATGTTACGGCCTATTAATTTTAATTTTATGCGAAAATTGAACTTTTGACAAATTTTATTGCGCATAGTATATGCGTAAATCATTAAAAATTGCCCAATATTGCCTTTCCTCTGTATTCTTCGCTACTTTATATATTTTTTCGAGAACATTTCCTATTTAATTACCCTGTATATTTTAAAGTAGTACAATTTTTTTTAAGTTTAAATCCCGTACTGTTTTAATATTCATATTGATATGTAGGTTTATACGTGAAGATGTGAAACATATTACATGAAAGCAAAAGGTCACTAATTCACACAATAACTAAACGAAAACTCAAAAACTAATTCAACAATGAAGGTGAAATGGTAGTTTATAAAATATAAAACATGAGCTAAGGACTAATTTTGCGATACGGTTAAATTAAGGGGGTCTAATGAATACCGTAAATTGATATGAAAGCCTTAAGTTTTTACTGCTAGAGATAGAAAGCTGAGTTATTCTTGTTCCACATAAATCAATTACACGTGTAGAGCCGCGAGCAACATTATCTTATATTTATAACTTTACATTCCTATTATTCAAATCAAAATATACTTTATTCAAATACAATAACATATGAATCGTCATTTTTTACATTTTTAAAATGGAAATTAAATGTCAGTATGTAAGTCTGTGAGAAATCTATTACGGTTTGGAAGGCAGTTCTGCTGAGTCTTCTCTTGAAGCGAGCCAGCGAGAAATTCAACAGTTGCTCTTTAAAATAATATTTGTTTACAATATCGTATTTACAATAATAATTTGTCTACTTATCCTACGTGACACCCAATTAGAAATTAGTCCCTTCCCACGCCTTGGCATTTACAAAGTATACCATGATTTAGTAATATATTTGTAATTTGAGTTTTATCTAATAATATATTTTTATTTCTTTATTTTTTGACTTAAAAGTGTCTTAAGTAACAACTTATAGGTACGTGTGTTTCGTCGGACAGACATAATATGTATACTAAATATATGTGGTGCGAGGCAACAGCATAAAGATTTTTTTAAGTTCTCGTAGACTATTCCGAGCTTCGATGTTATAAATTGCCCGAATAGATATTTTAGGGGTTCCATCGGAACCCTATTACTATGCTTCCGCTGTCCGTCCGTCGGTCAGAGGGCTGTATCTCATGATCAGTAATAGGTAGAGAGTTGAAATTTTCACAGAGTGTCATTGCTGTTATAACAACAAATAATAAAAAACCAAGATGGCGAATTTCAAAAAGGCTGCCATGCTTTAAAAAAATCGATCGTGGTACAGTTCACTTGTACTTGACCGATTTTTGAAGATTACTTCCAATAATGTTTTAGGCACATTAAATAAACATTTTAGAATAGACAAATAAGATAGGGTAAACAACGAAATCCCAAAATTTCGCCTTTAAATTCACCTTATTCGTCTTCATTGTAATATAAGACGAAAATTATTCCTTACCTGTCGACATGAAAGCTATTACTCGCTGCCTTTGAATATGAATACTTATATAAAAATAATTTCTTTTGCACGGGTGCAGAGGACAGCTAAAGGAGCCGGAAATTGTAAATGGATACATAGGTGAGTTTTTTCTGCGAGATTACATTTATATAGTATAAGAAAATGTAAATTATATTTTAGTATATAATATTATGTACCTATAATAACTCAAATAACATAAACATTTTGTAATAACTTTTTAAATAACTCAAAATGTACACCGACTTGAAAATTACTTAAAAAGTAATTATTCTATTGCTTCCTTAATTTATTTTGATTTATAAAATATTAAATAAATAAACCTATTATTGGTCCAAAATCGGAGATATCGCGTAACATACAAAAATTACTAAACATACACACGAATTGACTATCTACCCTCTACCTTTGTAAAGTCATTAAAAAATTATTACTGTCATAAACAATGCTTATATTATAACGCAGCAATTTAAATATACTATTGCATTCCGAAAACTATTAAGAAGTAATTGAATTCAACATCAAATAAATTGATGTATAATTTATTCCAAAATGTTGTCAAGATTACGTACAACGCATTTTCGAAACACGATAATTTGCAAGCCGTGTTTAAATTACTACCACCAACGAGTTTCATCATTCGATAGTAAAATTACACAGCAACATGAAAATTAAAGGGCGTTTTATTCGCGTATTCGATGGAAAACGTATCTCATTATGTGAGAGAATAAATTGGCGCCGACTATTTGTCAAACACTTGGTGGCAAGCGTTCCGATCCGTTTCGATTCAATTTGCGCGAATTTAATTGAAATCGAAACTGGCGATTGAAATAAAAGTAGCTAGCAAAATTATTCTTCAGTATGTAAAAAATGTATATTTTATAAGTCAAGTGGAATTTTATAACGCTGTCATTACTAAGCAAAATCGGTCAAGTGTATGGCTGCGCGTGAAATGAGTTGCATAGCTTTTAGAATCTGAGCTGCAACGGCTGCTTCATAAACGTAGACATGTTTTCATTCATTAAATATAATTATTATTTCGTTTCGTGAATTACAGTCATATTGAATTTTTTGAAAGACAATTTCTTATAATATTTATTAGTTCATGTCTAACTTTTACTCGAGATCAGTATAGATCAAATCAAATAGATAGGTCAGTCAATAGATCAACATGAGATACGGCGGCAGCTGTCACAACTGACGAGGGCGCAGTGAAGCGCCGAAATTGAAATTCGAAGTGACAGATGAGAGTAGAAGTCATCAAATTAATGTGAAATCGCCGATATTATATTGAAGTCGATTATAAATTTTAATTGAGTTGCTCTCGCAGTATTATATAATTATAATGTTCATGCCAATTTTCTTTTAAATATCCTATATACCTACGAGTATGTAGAATTCTGATTTAATATATTATTTTTAAATATTTCAAATTAAAGATATTAGATATCAGATTACTATTATTTTTCTCCTCAGGATTCACGGAGCAGAATTTAGTATCAAGATTGTCGCATGATTCCAGAAAAAGACACTCAGTCAGAGTCTGTTTCATAAAAACTGCTATTACGAGAAACTCCAAAGTCGTGAGGTAAAACAGTTTTTCACAATTTTACAGTAATTAAGTTGTTTTCACCTTCCTCCCTCACTATTCTTGCTTGAAAATATTTTTAATGAGACGTAAACACTCGTTATTTACAGTACAAGTTTTCCTGTTAAAGTCAACAGCAGAACATCGGCGAGGGAGACGCGACTTTTAAGTAAGTTAACTTTTTCACAAATTGTTAAGACACTAACAACGCTTAGAATCAGTAGGTATATCTTACTACTTTCCTATATCACTTTAGAAATTGATGAACGTGTTCATTCAATGAATGCTTTTTATATTGATATCAATATGTATATATAAACATGATTTAAATACATATTTGAATAAAAATATTAATTATTAAGAAGTGGTTATTACCAGAGGTTTCGCATTCATACATTTCTTTTTTATCATAACGTGGTCTCGGTTTAATATAAAAGTGCGTAGAAAAGTTCAAGTTGAATGTTTGAATCTTATTGATCAATTAAAATGAGATTGGCATAGAGTGTATTCAACTAATTATGATGACGATTTTAAGTGGATGTTTTCTTCAAAGGAAAATATTTTATAAGATGCTAAAATTGTATTCATATCATAAATATATGAACGTGTAGTAAATAAACATGGTATCATGGTTGTTAAAAAATATATATAATGTAAAATGTAAAATAAAAATGTTCAAAAACAATTCACAACTAATTAGTCGGGCACCGTTACGTTGTTATCGTCAGGATTAATGGCGTAGAAATACCTGTTTACAAAAGGGAATGCAACAAAAAAATAGGAAAAATCTAGACGATTACCTTACATATGAAAATGTACAATCTATTGTAGGATTGAAAAGCAATCATCTTCATATCACAGCGTATGTCATGCATAAACTGGAGCGAGACAGCCAGGAGGTAGCAATTAAATGTCACAGAGGCAGTGCAATAGTGATAAAAGCTGTAGGTACAGCTAACACTATGCAGAACATTCAATAACATTCAATATTTACAATTACGACTCTTGCCTTTAATGAAATTTGGAGTTTAGATCAGCTTAGAAATAACTCACGCTATGTTTTCCATATCTAAATTACAATTATATAGAGAGTATGTAGAGGCTGCTTCAGAGTCCATACATAAAGAAATTAAATGCTGATCGTTTGTAAGTGCATTTTTTCATAAAAGCTGGACTGATGGGTTTGTTTTTTTTTAATCTTGGTAATAGTCTGAATAAGGGTAAAATATAAGGGTTGAAAAATTCGGGAAAAATTGGAAGTAATATTTTTCTTTATATACTTTTGTGTAGGTAAACTCGTAGATCACGAACTTTATTGTAACTTGGGCAAGATTGAGTTTGCCGGGTGAGGTAAAAGATATACTAATATAATAAATAAATTCATTATATTAGTATTTAAACAAGCTGGCGAACAATGTGAATATACATATATTCTCTTATATTCGACGACAATTTATACAAATAATAGGCCTAATTCGTTTATTGCTCTCTAATGCGGGATCATAAAACATGTTGTTTGTACGCATCAGGCACATTTCCTCTGTCTGTCGGCCACGGTCCCGGCAATTTTGGGCTACTTTGTTTCTATGACGCGCTGCCTAGAATTATTATGTTATAAATGGTTTCGCTAAAACAGGCGATCACCGTTTATGTTAGTAAGTTTCCCATTTTTTCATGAATTAAATTATACTAAAATTTTAGAGTGTAAAATTGTATTTAATATAAAAATAAGCAAGGAATATTACTTATAAATAAATTTTATATATTAGATATGATAAAAATATATGAATGATTAGACGAATAAAAACATAAAAATATGAAATTGAATACTGTTATTTGATTTTCAAAATATTTTTATAAGTACCCTGAACACCTCAGAATTTACGCAAGTTTGTTATTAAAGCAAAAGTTCATACTAGTAGTTACAATAGAGTAAGAACACCAAATGCGGAGACAGCCGTTTAATTTGTGTCGGCAGTAATTTTTCCCACGTGGTACAAAAACAACGCCCTATTCCCATTCCACCTGTTTATGACTTTCGTCTAAGTTTCAAAGGGAGATATTGCGCTCTGCTCGCATTCGAGGACGAGTGTAACTCTGCTAGTTTTGTCTTGCGGCAACGCTCGACAAATGAAAAGATGACGGTATTCAAAGAAAGCTATGCATTTTTAAATTGTCACCGGCGCGGCGGGTCAGTCTCTGTGAAGTTAAAACAAGGCATATTTCTCAACTAATTCGAGTTTTCTAGTATTTTTATTCAGGAACGATCGTTGCAATAGATATACTGAAGCATTCCAATCACGTCCAACTACTTTAAGACTATTTCGCTTCAGTAACTTCTTTTGTTTTCCTCATCTCGTTGCTGAATTCAATACTCCTAATATTTTTAACATTTTCTTATTCGTTTTTTACGAAAAGGAAAACTAACATTATGCAGCGTTGGGACTTTGACTCGTAATTTTTGTGATTATTATCACAAAAATTACGAGTCTGACTCTTTCTACTTTTAAATTTTAACGTTGACTACAAAAACTTGATATCGGGTTCGTATTTCTTTAGAAAGTCATAAATTTGCAAGTTTAAATAAGCAGGTACTGGAAATTGGTTTTATAACGTAAGAAAAAGTATTTAATCAATTCTGTACAATATACTTTATATTATTACACTGATTGCCTCTAAATACTCGTAGATACAAAGATATGTATAGGTATAGTACATACCATTTAGCATCTGTACGCACTACTATACTATATGTCCTTAACATCTATAAAGAAAACTATTAAATTACTATATTATAATCGACAATGATTGATACATTAACGAATAGAATTATCGTTTAAATATTCTTTGCAAGAAGATAAATAGACAACGAATAAACCTATATCGACGACAAACATATAGCTTACCGAAATAAATGTTGCTACTAACATTTTATTATAGGGATCAACAGAACTAAGCAGATACAGCGGTAAACCCATCTGTGTATTCAAGAACAGAGGCGCAACGCATTCCGTAGCGGATTCGCAAAGCTTTGAGGGGACGAGACATTGCGATTCATTCTCGCATTTAAAAGCAAGACTGTAATTTCACAGGCCTTTGTCTCCGACCGTGGGCTCGACTCCTACGGAAATATGCGCATTCCAAATGGTTTTTTTATCTTTTTTTTCAAGTGGTGCGCTTTAGTTGCCATCCTCAATTGTGTAGATTTATATAGATGGAAATGCGTAATGTGTTAAAAGGTAGTATCTTATATGGTATCTATACGTATATTACAGACGCTTATACTAAAATATATATGAAACTAAAATTATTTATTTGCTCAAAAGCATTAATATATTTGACATACCCTACTAAGAGACTGCGATATTATTATCTCCCATCGGAAATGTATATCAACTTTGACACGCTGTCGATTAAAATGGAGCCCGTATTTTGATATTATTGAGCAAACAAAGTGTTTGAATCTCGCGAAATTTAATAGCGAAGGCTTTATGCAATGTGTGGCCCTATTTTTGTGACTGGGTCACTGCACTCCTGGAAAGTTCACGGTATTGATTTTATTGCGCACGCCCGAAAATATAAATGGGAACTGGTATGGTAGTGGCCACTGACGTGAACAAGTGGTGCCTATACGTTGTTAAAACATACGTCGCAATGCACTATTTCTGACGTTATCTTATTAACCATTTACATATAAAAATGTTAACTATATTAATAAGTAAACTAAATAAAATTTCTTTATTAGTTTACTTATTAACAAATAAGAATAATCGATTTTACTATAAAAATATTTATTATGCTATAAAAACATTAATGATAACAAAATATAACTGCCCTTTCTATGTTGTAATAAAATTTCTAAATAAAATCTGAGGCTACATCAGTAATTCTATTTCACAGGTTTCAGCGAAAGAGATGAAGATCACAAAGTTCATCTGAAAAATTTCCTGAATTACAAACTAAGTCGGTCCGACAAGGAGTAAGTAAACGTAGCTTTCGACTTTTCTTTGCAATAAAACTGTAAAAATATCTGTGCCTTCAATTTAATCTATACATATAATAAAATTGTAACTAAGCCGAATCTGTACATTCAATATTTTTTGTAAAATCTTATTGGAATAGTCATTATTATCAATACAGAGGCCCAAACCATAGTTTTTTTGTCTGTCTGTCTGTCTGTCTGTTACCGTATCACAAAAAAACCACTGGAGGGATTTTGATGAAATTTGGTATAATAATAGCTGGTTATCCGGGTCAACATATAGGATACTTTTTACCGCGGTAAAATGTCTAATTTCTGATAAAAAATACAAAAGCTGCAATGTAAGAGTATACTAATATGTAAAACCTAAGAATTTGGTTTTTGGTCATCTGAACGCGGGCAGACCCGCGGGTAATGCTAGTAAAGAATAAGTTCAAACATTAAAATGAGTAGGTTCTCTGATTTAACCAAACTACGATAAAAATAATTGTATTATCCTTGCTGCGAGATGCACATATACATATGTATATCTCCGACTGCATAATACTATATTCCTTCGTCAAATTGTTTTCATATTTTTAGTTAGCTTTTATGCAGTCGGGTTTTTAATTTATAATATATTTATTACAGTTTTTTAGTTTTTGCCAATTAGACATTAGAAGTTATATAATTTAGCATTTTTTTATTCTAAATTACTTTTAAACATATTAGTTGCATATATTTTTGTGATCGCCTCTTAAAACTTTTATTTTGATACTTTTTTTTAAAGACATAGAAATCCGCTTCCATTTCCTATTACCGCTTCTATTTTTATATAGCCTATGATACTCGTATTATCAAGACGCATCTAACGACGCATCGTATAACAAACTTACATACATACATAGACTGATAAACACATGACCCTCCTTTGCGTCGCACATCTGGGTAAAAAGATCGAACCTGCCACCTACGGAATATAGAGTATTGACAACTAAATATTTATTAACATAATATGATAGGTACCCACACTGTTATGCAACTGTTGTGATACAATTGTTATTTATTAAAAACTTTGTACACCTAGCAAGTTTCATTTTTTATGAAACTAAAATGGAAATAAATTGAAAAAAGGTGTAGTAAAAACTCGCTTAATAGCCACAAATGTATTTATTTTGACGTTTAGCATTGTTTTAAAGCACAATATTGTATAATGACAGCGCCGACCTTACATAATTACTTCAGACGCCGTGGAGCGTCGACCCCGCGCGACTTTGACCCACTTCCTCTAATTCCCCATCTCGTGGCAGACAATATTATGTTTGCCATAAAATGTCTACTTACAGCTTGTTATCTTTTTATACCACAGTACATTAATTATGGAAAAAGTTTTGTATGGATTGTTAACTACGAGTATAATATTATGATATTTATTATTGTTAGACAATTAGGTTTTAAGTTAAATAAATAAGAGTAAGTAGCAAATATTAATAAGTAGCAAATATAAAAGTAGAACCAGAAATATATTTTAAGTTTTATTTTTTTTATTTAAAAAGCAAACGGTTTTTGAATTATTAATAATAATTGAATTAAATAGTTAATCACTTAAAAAATTATAATATTTGATGTACTTATTTGTTATAGTAAGTTGAATCAGATATTTATTTAAAGTACACGTTAGGTATTTCACATTACGCAACTAGAAAACTCGCTAATGTTTCAGTACCTACTTGGTATACTGACATAAATTGTACACGTGATAATCTAACATTATAATAAATAGGCATCATAAATCCGTTACATTTTACGTTATTTTTTATATAAATATATAATAAAAAAATATTAGTTTTATAATATACTAGCGGCTCACCCTCGCTTTGCTGGGGTTCCGCGGTAGGTACGTTTTAAATAGATATAAATAGTTATTAGCCAGTGTTAGCCATGTGAAATTTTATTTTTTTATGAATTTTTCCGATGTTTTAATAGTTATTCTCCTATTCGGGGCGGAGACAAATCCAACAAATCAAAAGCCATGACCGATTTTCATGGTTTCTTTCGCCAGCAGTTCTCGAGTTATGTGTTCTAACAAACCCGGTTTTGTATTATTTAATTTAATTTGTATTTTCATATACTACTTAATCGCAAAATTTATTCAATTCTCCTATTTTGTACATATAATATCTTTAATATATGTAAATTTGAATTCGCTGATATTTTCAGTCATGCGTTTCAAGCGAGTAGATGTCGCAATTGTGATAACAAATAAGTTTAAATAATAGGTTTAAACCTATCACGGGTTTACAGATACCTACTGTTTACTTTCCATTATCAATGATTTCAAGCTTCCCGGAAAGGGTTCAGCAAAATAACATTAGAGGACGAGTGTTTTGTTGCTGTAATAGACTGTTTACGGGAAATACTATCCCTGTTTGTTCTGAATACATAAACACAAGGCTTCTTGCGTATCGTACGCCTAGAGTGAGATAACGTACGGTGATTATATATTGCTTTATGTATTGAAATTGGATGCAATTAAGTCTATTTAGGTTTCGACAAGTAAATTTTGCTAATTAAAATTGTTAAAACGAATGATTTGTAACATTCAAAAGTATAAAAACAAAGTCTTCATACGAGATTAAAGTCCATCTGTCAATACACAGAAACTTTAGTTAGCATTTAACTTTATTATTAATAAGTATGCCCTTATAAGTTTTTAGAATAGTACCAAATGAAGTATTCCAGCTCGATGTTTTATTAAAAATCGACAGTTACGGTGACAGTTTTTATAAAAGCTTTACTCAACCGTTGTTCCCAACTTTGTCATGTTCAAGTGTTCTACCAACTTTTCGCATTTGCAAACAGTTTACGTCAACAATATCTCATTCGCCTGGACTATGTAAATAATAACATTTACGTTAAACAACTTTATAATAGCATTAGCGTTGGGATTAAAGTCGTCGTTATTCTAATTTTCCCAAACTGCTACGTGCTTTATTTGTTATACACGATTGGTGAGCTTAATGAAAGCTAAACAACATTCGTTTACTAATTAATACAAATGTAATACCTAACTTTTACATAAGCATTGCTTTAGTAGAAATTATGAAAAAATATACTTGGCGATTTGTTTGGCTCAGTGTGTAGTGACCCTACTTGCTGTGCTAGAGGTCGCGGGTTCGAGTCCCGCTGGGAACATTCATTTGTGTGATGAGCACGAATATTTGTACTCCAGTCATGGGTGTTTATATTTTTAATATGTATGTATTTAAAGTTATATGTGTGTAGTATATCAACTATCTGGTATCCATAATACAGGCCTCGTAGCTTACAATGGAACTAGATGGTGATGTGTATTAATGTCTCAACATATTTATATTTATATGTACATATATATGCATTACAAGAGAACTTATAAGAATACTAAGGGGATGTGAATAAACTATCATTATGCAGGCATCAATCTCTCATTGTTTATAAGCATTTAGCAAATTAACACTCATATCCTTGCATGTAGGAGATAATAGTGTGGGGGAAAATAATAGGAGTACACAATACTTATAAATTTATGTGAATATCTAGGCTAAACTATAATTAGATACTCTCTTAAAGATAACAAGTTCTATCTGGGTTAATATAAAATAGCCCTAATTTGATTACATTCCAGCCATGTTGTAAATTTATATTACTATAGGTAATTTGAATTGATTAATGATGATTCTGATTTTTAAAATCTTAATGCTCCTTTCTATATATATTTTTGTGACATAATAAAATGTAATTTCTATAATATTTTAACATTTGTATAACTCTAAAAGTCTCTTCTGAATTACCATTCTAATATCCATACAGTATAAGTAAGATATATCAACTACTTAACATTTCTTATACAAAATGGGGCGAACTTCTTAGTTGAAATATTTCGAACGACATCGATTTTAGCATGGCTTCTTCCAATCGTAGAGTATTTATTACCTCTACCTCTGACAATCCCTAATATCTTGATTGGTTTTAGGATTACTTTTATATGTTTTATAATATAATTACTTATTGTATTGTATATGTACGTTTCCCTTGAAAAGCACACAACTGACACCCCCCCCCCCCTTCCCCCACACGACAAAGTAAACGCACGTTGAGGGAGACAGAAATACTCAATACCTCAACTTAACTCGAACCGGGATTTGAACCCAGCACCTCTGGATCTGGGGTTGTACGTGCTATTTCGAGTAGAGTAGTACCGAGGTACCTAGTTAATATAATAGTATGGTAATAGTAAAATTCAATTTATACTACTTATTATTAAATTATATTTGTTTGTTGTTTGTCTGTGTTGTTTTTATTAAGTGTTTGTTTTTTAAATTAACAGAGACGATTGTGTGGAACTGGATGCTGCCAAATACAACTGTGACATTATCAAGAATTTATTTGAAGCATTTGAGAGCTACAGAGATATTTGTAAGTGAAATATTACACTAGTTTTTAACATTTTTTGCGACATGTCCTGCGTTTGTATTTTATTTAAATTACAAAACCGCAAAACGTTTCTCCTGCTTTAAATGTAGCTGCGTAAAACAGAAAGATCGAATTGTATCTAAAGTATACGGCCAATTGAACTAAATATCTACTTCAATTTTGGACTAGGTACACTATGAAAATGTTTTATTAAAATCCGTCAAGTTGTTTTCGACTGATACATTTATGTTTACAGGCTAATAAACAAATATTATGTTAAAAATTGTTTGATGTTTTAAAGCGTTCGAAACGTTGGGAATCAAAAATCTAAACGAAATCGCGAAAAAATTTGAAAAAAATAGTTGCATGACTTTCATACAAAAAATACTGATGAGATTAGAAGGTATAATGAATATTATAAAAATTATATAATGGGCCTTGGTTGCATCATTTCAGCTTTCATCAATATAGTTAAATAGGATGGAGAGAAATACATAAGTACCCCTTTAAAATATTTTTTGAATAACGAATTATAATAACGATATTTTTATAACTTCTCGTAGGTAACAGTATATGAGAAACTCGATTAATAATAAGAGATCCCATTTTCGTTTATCTATAATGTATTTCTTTACACAATATTTTCTGCTGTTACGCGCGTATTTTTCTCTTCATGTATATTATAAATATATTTCTAATAAAACAATTTGTAATAATATCACATTGTCAACAAAAATAAAAATATACTCTCTGTAAACGCGAAAATTTATGATAAATGGCATAAATTGTATATGAAAATCGTGATATTCCGCTCGTTTTTCACACGTAGGGAGTAGGTAATTGAATATAAATACTTCTAAATGAAATCAATTCGAAATGAAATTATTCTATATACCTATGTATATCACATTAATAGTCTACTGTCCACCACGGTTTTTTGAATGATTAACTAGCGTAATACCCTCGCTCCGCTCGGGTACGTCCCTAAGTATGTTTTAACGTTTAGTATAGGAAAACAAAAACAAACCTATCCCACGGGAACCGTACATTTTTCCGGGATAAAAAGCCTATGTGTTATTCCAGACTATAATCTATCTCTGTGCCAAATTTCATCCAGATACATTCAGCCGTTCTGGCGTGAAAGAGTAACAAACATCCATACATATTCACAAACTTTCACATTAACTACTAATAACACAGGGGCCTTACAACCATCTTTTTGAAGTGAAACTTCTTTAGAATCGTTGTGATTTAAAACTCGATGAAACGAAAATGCGACGTTAAAAAGAGACAAACACAAATATACAGGATTAAGCTGGCGAGAGAATGAGATAGAATACATATTACTTTGGCTAAGTAATTAAAGCCTACCTATTAAATACATACCTAATCAAATATTTTCGAAATCGGTGCCAGCCCATACAAAGCAAAGCACACCGACTTCGAAAATATTTGATTAGGTATGTATAGTAAATGAAAACTACCAATCAGTTATTTTTTACTTTTTAGTGCTTTTGTTTGAAGTCGGTTTTTATTTTTTTGTTAAAAAGTTTTTATCGTATACGATATTCTATAAACATATGATTGTAATATTATGCCTTATTTAATTATTGATTTGTTTTAATTCGATATTTGCCAAAAAAGTTTTACATCGACCGCGCGTAAAGGTTACAAGCACCCATTTTTTTTGTTTTATGTTGGATTATCTCAAAATTAAATTATAAAACAACCTGCTAATAATAAATCATTAACAATCACCATTTCGACAAGTGCCGTATCAATCTACAATTGTATCAACCACTAACAAATTTTTATAGAATAAAAAGTTGGGAGTCTCGTCAAAATGAAGCGACTCGTGAGCTTGTCTATACATATAATAAAAGTGTAACTAAGTCGAATCTGTACATTAAATATTTTTTGGAAAGTCTAATTAAAATAGACATTATTATCGATACAGAGTCCGAATCTATAGTTTTTAGAATTTTTGTCTGTCTGTTACCGCATCACGAGAAAACCACTGGACAGATTTTGATGAAATTTGGTATGATGATAGCTGGTTATCCGGGTCAACATATAGGATACTTTTTGCCGCGGGAAAATATCTCATTTCTGAGAAAAAAATACAAAACATGTATGTAAAACCTAAGAATTTGGTTTTTGGTCATCTGAACGCGGGCGGAGCCGCGGGCAATGCTAGTTATTAATAATTTAAAAAACCTGTGGTAGAATATAGACTATAAGTGAAAGTAATAACATTACAAAATAATGTAAAGTAATGGTAGTCATAACGATAACGATTTGAGGTCAAAAGTCTCGTCGGTTCGTAACATAAAAATGTAGTATATTAGATAGGGTACATCGTAAATGTAGGTAATAAGTACGCCACAACAAAATATATATTTGTATTAGAAATCTTTTATGGTTTCTTAGCCTAAAGCTATAAATGTTCTCATTGTAACAATAACAATTAGGTTTTCCTAATTTCATTGGTTTCTATATATTTTGATTTTTGCATTAGGTATTATAAAAACACTAGCGTACAATGTATAAACATATAAATAATATAAGCTTGATTTTTACGATTATTAAGAAAATAATCTTTCATAATATCATATAATTAAAAAAAATATGTCAACAAAACAAAGCAACGCTGGATTTGTTTACATTATATGCATGTAAAAACATTTACCGAAATTATCTATACATATAATAAACTAGGCCGAATCTGTACATTAAATATTTTTTGGAAAATTAATTTATATTATCTTTCTTTAATATTATCTCTCTCGTACCCGCAAGCTAAAACTTTAAAATATTTGATCCATGTTTTGACAACTTAGTATGTCCAGAATGTTCTTTAAAAATGATTATTATTTTTTAATATATGCGTTTTTTATAATTAGTTATTCAATTATTATCTGTTAAAAAATCAATTTTATATTTGTTTATTGTTTATATATATTATAGATTTGTACACATATGTGTATTAATTATATTATATGAAACCACAGTACACGACCCAGTTTCAAAAAATAATACACCTCCATCATAAAATATCTATTATAATAGAATACTGCGAGATCCAATTATTTTTTAAAATCACACAAGCGTTATACAAAGTGCTATTTTAAACGTAATTGGAACCGAGAAATATTTGACAGAAAATTGGAAACTCATGAAAATTTGTTTTGTTTTCATTTAATGTTCGTCCTTAATTCTTCAAAAACATCTATAAATTATTATATGTGAAACATTCAAAACTAATAATATTTTTGTGAAATCTGAAAAGGTCACAATAACCTAATAAACGGTACCTATATCTCGGAAAATAAAAGTATATAATCAAAAGGATTCGCCGGCATCTATTGTTAGCAAGAAATAATATTCCCACGCGCGAATGGCTAAAATGGGTTTCTTCTAGCCACCATGGAACAAATATATTGCGATTTGCTCCTTCATTTTCTCGCAAGGTATTTTATTGCTTTGGGGTCTCACATAAATTCCGTACTCACTCAGAGAGAAAAATAAGGCCTCGGCTCGTCGCAAATTGTTGCGAAAAAATCTTATTACTACGTTGTAATCACTTGGTAACATTTTTTAATATATTTTAAATCTTTTTACTTCAAAGGCAATCCAATGATTGAATTACTGGAATCAGTTATTTGGTTATATTTTGGTATTTGAAATAAGTTCAAAAGAAAATTTTCCACTATTTCCTTTCTTATATTTGATTCTTATTAATATTAATGTTATTAAACATAACATTAAATAGTTATGCGAATAAAAGATTTTACATAAAACAAATTTTGAATATAAACATAATATGTACATATAAACTTTTATTGTATTGGTTAGTATACAAATAGCTAGTTCTATGTCAGTATGATTTGTATAGAGATACATTGAGAGCGACCCAGAAGCTGACCTATAAACATTGACGATCGGTTGCCTAATTTTTTATGCAGGCCCAATCGTGCTGCATAGAAATGTCTGTTTGTATACATACTCTTCTTTCAGTCTAAATATCTTCAGATACGGCAAATATTGAATTTTCTGTACAAATGTTTTTAGTTTTCTTATTTGCAAACATGAGTGAAGATTATACGTGACGTTGATGGGATCAATTTTTCGAGTCCATTTAGGACGGCGGTTACTTCACTAAGAGGAAACTTTCTAAATTGGAATAGTTCTGCGGATATTTCCAACTAGCATCCATCTTTGTGGAGGCGGGTGTCAGGAGTGGTTGGGAGGTAGGACTTATTTTTTTTATTTTCATACATCAAAACTCGTTCTGTACAATCTGTTATAACGAAGTGAAATTTTTGGTAAAGCTTACAAAATGTATTCTAGATAATAAAATTGACCCAATTCTTTATTGAATTTATACCGTTGCGGTCTCTTAAACACGATGAGGTATTTTATTATAATACTCGTAATACAATAAAATGTATATAAACATATTATATGAAACATATGTTTTAGGTCATAAAGAATATCACCTAAATTATGCCTTTTTGAACATTTACTACGACTCGTTACGTTTTTAACCAAAAGTTGTACCCATCATAAAATCTAGAGATCACCAACGACTATATTTTATGAAAGGTCCTTTTTATACAATTCGCTTAATCCCAAATATGTTAAATTTTAATCTCTTACTGAAAGATGTGAACGCTTGGAGTACTGTAAGATAGAGCAAGGCTATCGGAAATTTCGTTTATCTCGACTCGTCCAGACTAGTACGGTTGTAAATTTTTTGCGCGGTTTGACGATTTACGGCGATATAAATTCTGGACGAATGCGGATAGTAAAACGAAAAAGTGACTGAATTTTTCAGTGAGATCTAAATTCTGCATGACCTTTATAGGATATTGTTGGTGACACCGGAGTTTTATTGCCTTCCAACCCGTAATAATATTTTCCGACCCAGACATTCTTATACATAACTAATGATGATGTATTAAATATCAGAGAAAATTCATAAGTACAGCTTATCAGATTTATTACTTTAAAAAAATGAAAAACAACGAAAGTTTTCTTGAAAAAATACTAAAAAACGCATTTCCTATCAGTTAATCAAATAGAAAACCCTACAATAATAAATAATTAAAATAACTGTTTTAGCAGATATATCATAAATACCTAATAGATGACAGATTTGTCTTGGCTACTAAATATTAATCATCGTAACATACAAAACAAAAAAAAAACTTATAATAAGTGGCAAAGATTCTCAAGTCAAATAAAAGGATTCAATCAATTACTTTGCAAATAAAATTACGTTATAGACAAGAGAAACCCTTGACAAAACCAGGCTCCTTATACTATTTATTGTCCCGAATCCTTTATAAATAATCACGCAAAGGAACCTTAGAAAAAATATATTTTCTTAATACTTGTTTTCAGTCATTTGGTGTTCATTAGTAGAAAAAACGGTCGATGTTCGTGTTAAACGAAGACGTCTAAAACGGTCTCCAGGTAAGACATAGTACCTATGTATTTATATCACGTTTTAAAGACATTACTACTACGTTTCATCATGTTATTTTATTTCTTTTTAGACTCTCGACCTGAGTTGGTGTATACGTTTATTGAACAGGCTGTGCAACCTGGAGCACAAGTGGCTTTAAAATGCTCTGCGGTTGGGGAGCCACCACCCAGATTTCGTTGGAGTTTGGATGGTCAGACCATACCGTCTCATCATGGGTAATTTTATTATTTTTATTATCGGACTACTATACTTTATTATAAATGCGTACTTACAAAGTATGTAAGTGTGTGTGTAATGTGTATGTGTGTTTGTATCTACTTCCTTTAAACTAAAAAGGTTTTCGATTTGAACGAATGAATAGAATGGATAGAATATGATCTGAAGTGATACGTGGGCTAAATAAAATAAGTACTACTTGTTTGTATATGCCATACATACAAGTAGTTTTTTTTTAAATATAATTTATTGTATATATCTTGCGTCAAATTATTATTCAGATTTATAAATTATTTATAAGCTGTTCCTTCTCTTATATATTTTTATAGGTAGGTATATAAAAAGTAATTAACTCACAAGTCTGCTCTCAAAATTGTTAAAGGGATATTTGCAACTACTTTATGATCTTCTTGCGTTATTGACAACCTCTTTTTATACGTAGATATTAAACAAAGTGGTATTAAATAAAGGTAATATACCTGCCGCTGTTTATAATCTCATTATTAATATATATTTGATGTAGACTTAGTATACATATACTTAATTAAACGTTTAAAGTGTACTACAGTTAAAGCATGGACACCGGTTTTCGGTTTTCGGATTACCGGACCTCGAAATACTGGTAGTCAAAACTGCCAACACCGGTTTTTCGGTATTATTTCATGATTCAATGTGTTTTTTTTTATTGTTTATTCACGTCGTTATCATGGTTCACCTGCATTAACAAGAAAGCGTTGCTGTCAAACTGGGCAGGTTCATTTTCAACTGTACAGTGTAGTACATTTACGAAATAAAGTTTCTTCTAATTCCGATATAATTAATCAAAAACTTAAACATACGCCATAAAGTTTTTTAAGCTATTGCATAGCTTCTATCGCGGGCCTTGAGCGTGGGGACCGAATCCAGAAATTCCGTAACGAAAAAAACCTAACACCCCCCACTCAGATTTGACATCTGACATCTGACGTTTCTGACGATCTGACATTTGACATCTGTTTCGGTAAGAAGTAACACATTTGCTTGCCTCGTAACTGAATCTTGTAAATCGTATTTGTGACTATTTAGACTTTGGCAGTTGAAAGTAATTATTGAAATGCCATTTCTATTACTAATGAAATCTAATACACTTTGAACTATTGTCTGAACACTATTTAGAGACAGTCTTTTGAATTCTTGCAACAAAGATGCAGTCGATGCAGCTTGCTTTCGAAAATATTGAATTTGAAAATGAATAATGATCCACAAGAATCCACGACAAAATATGGAACCACCATTGACGCGGTATTTTCCAGATATTTAGAAGATATCAAGTCTCAAACTTATGTTTCTTATTTCAGTTACCATAAACTTATAGTTTCAATGATAAATATTCCTGAAGAACTGACATGTATTGAAAGATAATAAAAATATTTTGAACAATATTAACATCTCATTTATTTAATAAAAGAAAAAAAAAATGTTTTTTTATCGGTCACCACGCTCAAAGTGTAACTTGAATTAATATCAAAGAAAAAAAAACAAAGGAAAAAAATACTGCATTAATAAAATAAATAAATAGTTATAATTGCATAAGTTGATAAAAAATGCTATGCAACGGCTTTACCGCGGCAGTCTCCGAGTGCCACAAGTCTTTTAAATTTTTAAATTAATTTTGTTTTTAAAAATCTTTTTAACTTTTATCAGGGTTGTAATAACAGAAGGGCGCGAAAGTGGACCAAGTGGAATTGGATCAAGTAACAATTACATACTATCAACTCTCTCGCTAAACAGCGCTAGGGTTGAGCATGGCGGCCGCTACGAATGCCGCGCGACCAACAATCATGGGTCAATTGCACATTCAGCTAGACTGAATGTTTATGGTACAATATTTCACAATATATTTCATATATATCAAACTTTATGTTATTTTCCATGTGAGATATAGTCAAAAATTGTTTTGATACAATGCTGTATAGCAGTTTCCTTTGACCCACTGTCTTTAAATTAAAAAAAAAACTATACAAAAATCAGCTAATACAAACAGTTCATATTTGAAATTTATTTTAACCCACTATTATAGCAGATTATATTGGTTAGATAATCATTAATTTTGATTTATTGTTAAAAACAATAAAATTACAGGCCCGCCATATATTCGTTCGATGAATCCGGTGAAAGCTGTTGCGGGTTCTGATGTATCAATTTGGTGTCCATACTATGGATATCCAATCGAGTAAGTACAATAATTATTATTAACAAAACGTAGTTCGAATTTAATAATTTAATGTTTGTACCATTTAGATTGTAAGATTAAACGTCTGGTTTTAGGAATGAATTTCTATTTTTTTGTACAATTTACTCAGCTACTAATTGCTCAAAGCTTTAAAAAATTTAATCAATACATTTACAAGAAATTCAAATTTTTTCAACTAATAACTGTTTTATATATCTTTTCAGCTATTTCTATTTAAACTCTTAACTTTCCACTTTGGATTGACGCTGCCAATTAAAATAAAATTTAAATTATATTATTCTTTTGTGCCCATTTAAAAATCAATTATAACACCAAAAGCTTCTTATTGGTAAAGTAAAAAACCCTTCATATTGGTAATATTTTGAAAAAAAAAACTATCGCACCACTTAGTATTTAATTTTCTTAAGCATTTATTACAATATAATATATATAAATGAAAATACTTATAATACAAACTTGTAGTTCAGTGAAATGGGAAGGCGGGGCAGGTAACGACCCTCGATATCGACAATCGGACGGACAACTCAGCATCAGCAACGTAGATCGGACTCGAGACAGAGGCGGCTGGATTTGTTCAGTGCTCACGTCTACTGGAGAGCTTGCGAGGAGAGAGGTACATTGAATATATTACTGATTTATTGAATATAAAATAACATAAAATCGTTAATGTTCATAGAAAACTAAAAATTATTTTTATGGAAATGGCTTAATAAATTTCATCTTTTAACTAAAATTTTAGATACATGATAATAAGCCTTGATAGTTTCATGTTTTTGTTTTATACAAAATATTAAGAAAAGTTTAAAGCCCCTGTATTTATGCCCCTTAACTTTACGCTTATGTGACAAGGAACATTGCCAAAATAGCGGTTAAATAAGAGTTGACGTAATAAATCAAGTTCTAAATTCATGCCATAGTTACTCATTGATATTAGCTCCTAACGTAAAAATAGACGACCGTCTGCCGAACTGGGTACATCAGTGAATGGCGCTGATTATTGCGCGAATGAATATGAATTTTATATCAGTAAATATTTGTTATAAAAAAGTATATTATTTAATTGAAGCAAAAGCAAAACTAAAAGACGAAAAAAAAGACCCTATAACGTTTTATAGGATTTTTATAATTTAAATTAGGTATATCAGACGTCGTAAAAATGTACAGAACTTAATTATTTAAATACGAAGGAACTATTAGAAAAATTACAACGGGTTCATACCTTTCTGCGAGCTATGAAAGACTGTTGTCTATCTACATATAAATAACAATGCAAATTTTAATTTATACAAAACCATACATCACTGAAATTGTTATGCAAATAAGGTTTTTATATTAATATAATAAAGGAAATCCCTTTAAATTCTTCTCATTTTCATTAAAATTTATTGAATTATGAGTATTTGTGTCCATAGAATATATTTCGTAAGAAAAATTGTAAACAATTTCCATTTATAAACTATGTGTTCGTAATAAAAATCTTCTAATCCATTTTAACTGAACTTATTTGAACTTATTGTATAAGATTTTGCCATTCTATGGGAGATCGTATATATAACTAGCTAAAAATATATTATCTTTGATACATCACTTTGTTCCATTAACCATTACTTTAACGATTAGGTGCAAATCAACGTGGTGTCACCGCCAGTGCTGTCGCCCATCGTGTTCCCGCCCGGGCTGCGCGCCGGAGACCGATCTCAAATTACTTGCACCGTTACGTCGGGCGATATGCCCGTTTATTTTTCCTGGTTAAAGGATCAAATGCCGATATCTAGTGTTTTACAGGTAGAAATAACAATTTTCTTTAGATTTCTATTAGACGTCATATTTTTAATTGCTTTTTATAATTTATAGTTTCTAGCCTATATACAGGTTTTTTTTTAGTATGAAGTGAATCTTGTTTTCTATCAATAGCTTCACTCATACTAAAAAGTAGATATTTCCATAATTGGTTTTAGTATACATTTGGTTAGAAAGAATTGAATCATATAAATCCGTCCCATAGATGGGTGTTGTTTTAAAATATGTCGGAGACGGTCATCAATACGGTCGCTAAACAAAGCGCGGTACGACGCCTGAGTGATGGCAGCACCTTCGGTATTATCGCCAACACTCGGCGAACTTCGTGCTACGACGGAGCCTAGCTAAGGGAGGGGTGCTAAGAGGGCTGGACACTTGCCTTCGAGCCGAGCCAAGCTTAGAACCGCTCCACTAGGAACTGTCTTGCGTTCCGTATTGTCTATACATGGTAATAGTGAAGTGGTATATGGCTGTGTAGTGAAGTGCTGTTTAACTTTGTACAAAGTGATTATTGTTAATTTGAAATACAACTGTGATTGCATCGACTTTCATTTGAACCAACACTTCCCATATAACGCCCACTGTATAAGTCATAAAATAATGGAAAATAATAGAGAAAATTAATGCTGCTTCGATATCAGAAGTGGGATCAGTGTTGGTTCAATTGCAAAAAGAACTAACTCTGAGTGAACAATGACGTGCTATGTTTGAACAACAAAATGTCAGTATGTGATCTCTTATCGAGGCCATGCAAATGCCTCGGATGAAGAAGAAGAACATCAGATCTTGATTTGCGACTGTAGATTTGTGTTTTGCCGAATACCCTCCATACGGTGGCTAGCTTATTTTAACAGTCAGTAAGAAATTAAAAGGATAAGGGTCGACGTGGCTGTCACAAATTGTATACCAGAGAATAACATAGGAAGAGTTCAAAGTGATTTTCAAGGCGAGATTTATTTCCACCGAGACATTGGCTGGTACGCTTATTAATTTTAACAGTGACAAACCAAATGAATAAAGAAACTCGTTACGTACGCAAATCGCCTGATGACGTCACTGACTAATCGTTGGAAAGACGCTAGCAAGAATCAGATAGCAATTGCGACTGTCCTTGCTCACTTATGTCAGTTTAATTCGAAATTACAACGATTGGCCTTTACTACGAAAATTGCTTCGCGAGATCGACTGCAGCAGGGATTGCACGCATTCTCACATTTGAAACGCAAAAAAAGTGAGTCTTATGCGGTCAGAGTGTAGAAGCAAGGTAAATGACAGTGTGGAACGACCTTCGATGACAGCAACGGCATTGCAGCCTGCAGTGAAGTCTCTGGTGTGCTTCAAATGTGGCAAGCCTGGTCACATCACGCTCCGGTGCATAAGTAGTGCCAGTCAAGTGGACAGCAGCAATATGGGTGCAACACGAACGGAACGACGCGTGGATGTATGTGTTGTACAACCATCTTCGAATGCTCAATGGCATAGAGGTAATCTGTATTGCTTTTGTTATAATCATGGTGCTGAATATTCGTTAGTAAGATAACATTTAGCAGTCAAATTGTGTGGTTAACGATTTTGTCCTTGCAATTTCTAGTATTGATCCAAACGGAATATTCCGCACAGAGTAAAATTTGTTTTGTAACGATTAACGGTAATTCTCTTGAAATCTTTTGAAATATCATGTTTTGCCTAATTATTAGTTACAAAATGGTATCATGATAGAACATGAGATATTGAAAGGTTTTCTATTAACATAACGGCTATAAATTCTTTACACAAAAATTCTAGTAGGTCATGTACCAATAGAGGTTGATGTAAATAATGATCATCATGCTAAGCAAATGTTTTAATGAAGTCGATGGAAACCGATGTAAGCATTCTGACGGCCGTAGTAGTATCGACCGTACTAGTAATTATTACGTAGTCATAGTCTGGTAAAAGTCGGTCTTTTGAGGAAGCTCAAGCTAAATAGACCGTGGGTGTGTGATGTGCGTTTAGTTCTGGCGGAGGTCGGGGTCTGTTATAACCATAGTGTGTAGTCATCGAGAGGATGATACACACGGTGATCCCGTAGTGGATGCACCTGGATTGTGGAGCAATTGTGATTGCCTAAGAGTGGTTTACAAAGGTGCTAGTAAATTTGAAAATTAGTTTGATTGCTGAAGTGTTGAATGATGTTGGTACATGGCTCTGGATGACTGACGTTATTAGTTAGATTAGAGATAAATAGTGACTTGGAGTTTAAAAAAAAACAAAGGTGTTAGCGTTAAAGCTTTTCGTCAGATTCAAAGTTAAGTTTTATCTGGTCAGGATTGACCGAGTCGAGCAAGTATTTTCGTTGATTATTTGGTTGCAGGCTAACACACGGCTAACACACGAGGGCGTGTGCACGCAGGATGGCCGTGTCGGAGACGGTCATCAATACGGTCGCTAAACGAAGCGCGGCACGACGCCTGAGTGATGGCAGCACCTTCGGTATTATCGCCAACACTCGGCGAACTTCGTGCTACGACGGAGCCTAGCTAAGGGAGGGGTGCTAAGAGGGCTGGACACTTGCCTTCGAGCCGAGCCAAGCTTAGGACCGCTCCACTAGGAACTGTCTTGCGTTCCGTATTGTCTATACATGGTAATAATGAAGTGGTATATAGCTGTGTAGTGAAGTGCTGTTTAACTTTGTACAAAGTGATTATTGTTAATTTGAAATACAACTGTGATTGCATCGACTTTCATTTGAACCAACACTTCCCATATAACGCCCACTGTATAAGTCATAAAATAATGGAAAATAATAGAGAAAATTAATGTTGCTTCGATAAATATATAAGAAATAACAAGTAGGTATTATTAAAACGTTTAAATTGTGATGATATAATAACATTAGCATTATATATACTCAGTGCCATTATATAAACCATAAATTAAAAAGCTATTATCTAAGAGATATTTAGTAGCCGCAAGGCGAAATAAAAATGCACTGCAATAAAATATTTTACTTACTGAGATAATGTGCTTCAAACGAAATGTAATGTGTTCTTTCTATTTTATGAACAAAAGGAGATATGGAACAGATTACCGGTCTAAAACTAAAAGTATCTAAGTATATATATATATTACTTTAACAGATCAATTCATATTTATACATAGTAACATACATATAATAAAAATGTAACCGATCGCTGTCTATACATGGAAGATATTTAAAAAAAATATTATTGGGGGTCTTTATTAACGCAATAAACCCAAAACAATGATTTTTAGAATTTTTGTCTGTTTATCTGTGCGTTTGTGGATTTTATGGTTTTCACTAATGTATTGTGTTAAGCTTCACTTAACATTTTTCATTTGTTTTATATTAATCGGTTCATAAATAAAGGACTTACGTCAATTTTTAGAATTTGTAAAATAAATTGCAAATACGATAAAAAATTTTTTACTTCAACAGATCAATTCATATTTGTAAAATAAATTACAGATACAATCAATACAATATAAAAATAAGTTAAATACTTTAGTCTATAAGTTAAATATAAATCAAATTATTTAGATACTAACAGAATCCGCGCTTTCGATCGCGCTATAAAAACTTTAAAGTAAAGAATAAAACCGACTTCCAGGCACTAAAATGTAAAAAATAACTAAACGGGGGTATTCATTTAGAATAGATACCTAATCAAATATTGTCGAAGTCGATGCCAGCCGACGCATAGGAAATCTGATATATTTTGTACATATGTTATTTAATACATATTTACCTATTAGATATTATATATCTCTTATAGCTATATATATATAGGATAGCTTTGCTTTGTATGGACTGACACCGATTTCGAAAATATTTGATTAGGTATGTATTTAATAGGTAGGCTTTAATTATTTAGCCAAAGCACACAGACTTCGATAATATTTGATTAGGTATGTATAGTAAATGAAAACTACCAATCAGTTATTTTTTACTTTTTAGTGCTTTTGTTTGAAGTCGGTTTTTATTTTTTGTTAAAAAGTTTTTATTTTTCCCTTTTTAGTGTAGACAGTAGTAGCAAAGTAAGAATTCTAGTGTGTTAGTTAGGCTTGTCAAATCAAACAAAATAAGCCCAAACTCAAAGTCTCTACTATTAGCCGTTGAAGAGTTCCACCTATCCACCTTCTGGCCTTACCATCAGATCAGGTCAACAATATCGAACCACTGTACTATCAACGGAAATAGAAACACTTGCAAAGTTTCAAGTCAATATGACAATTAGAAGTAGGCTAAACTCATCATTAGCTATTTTTCCACCTTAGGGGTGGTATTTTTTTTTTTAAATTTAAATGGGACCAATCTGGAAGTATACACTTTCAAACAACACAAAAATTGTCCAAATCGGTCAATAAATGACGGAGTTCTGAGGTAACAAACATAAAAAAAAAAAAAAAACATACAGTCGAATTGAGTACCTCCTCCTTTTTGAAGTCGGTTGAAAAATATATTTATTGTTGATTTTTTTAAAAACCGCTCGACCGATTTTGATAAAATTTATATGGGACCACCTGGGAAGTATAGGGTATACTTCAAACCTTCAAAAAAAACCTTTCAAAAAAAAAATTCCAAATCGGTTAAGACGTCTTCGAGTAGGTAATCGGTGAACATACATAAAAAAAAGTTTCCGACGAATTGAGAACCTCCTCGTTTTTGGAAGTCGGTTAAAATCTACAATAAAAAATGTAGGTCTCATACAATCTTTCATCCTCTATTTTACCCCCTTGCAGAATGAATTTTGAAAAATGCTAAAACATGTATTTATTTAATTGTATTGAAGAGCATTAATACTAAGTTTCAAGTAATTCTAATCATAAATATTTTTCGGATTGTATTATAACGTGTTTTCTCGTGGGAATGAGATAATCTCACGCGGTAAAAAGTAGCCTATGTCACTCTCCAGCCCTCCAACTATCTCCACATAAAAATCACGCAAATCTATCACTCCGCTTCGACGTGAAAGAAGGACAAATAAACAAACAAATAAACAAACACACTTTAACATTTATAATATTAATATGTTATATATTATTTAGATTATTTAGATATTACAAGTAGATTGTATAATAAATTCGAAAAAAGTGCTTCTTTTTTTATCTTTCATTAAAGTAAGAAAGGAGTAAGGGATCGATTACATAAACCTTGTTTATATATGAACCTAAGATTATTACATTTATTATGTAATATAAGCTAAAATGTGTCTTAAAAAAGAAACGCAGCCACCCAAAGAAGCGAAAATGTCGCAACTTTTTGGGTGCTTCCCTTTTCGATAGCGCTGGTAATATATATTGCTATTTTATTTTTAAATATTGATGTATTATAATAACATAGTATAAATACATAATATTTATATTTCAAGTATTAATGTCAATTCCCTGTACATCATATCGCTCTTGGAATAATATAAAAAGTTGTAGAGCCTATGAGAAATGAGAGTAGCATTAAATTAATATCCTACTTATTTGTTACTTTACTAAATGCTGCCTAATTTAATTTAGTCGCTGGCGGTTAAGTCATTAATTTAAGCGCAGGTTATATCGTGGCCAAAAGCGTGTAACGCATCTGACGTCTCATTAGTAATGTTCTAAACTTTAGGTGGACGAGCGTGGAGCGGAATTCTATAGCATGCTACTGTTTAAAAGTCTGACAGCTGCCCACAGCGGGATTTACACTTGTGTTGTAACTAACACCGCCGGAAAAGCCAACATGTCTGCTGAGTTGGCTATTAAAGGTATATCAAAGGAATTAGAAACACAGTGCTTAAATTATACTGTATCAAAAATTATAAAGAAACATTTTTAGTATTAATATAATAATTAATTTTGGAATTACATCTTTAATTCAGAATAACATTCAATGAATAGAAAAAATACAAAAAAAGTTTTTAAAAAGACTTGTTTATACCAGTCGCCACAATTTTATAGATACTAGATACGAAGAAAAACTTGAACACTTTAACTTGAAAACTTTACGCCAAAGATGCGAAATTTTGCGACTCATGTTTGTTTTTAAATTAGTAAATAATTACATAGAATGTCAGTCACTACTATCGCTAGTAAATATACAAAGACCAAGATCTGCAGCAAGAGCTATTAACTATAAACCACTACATATCCCACAACGAAAAAATAGATACGGTTCTAATTCACCACTCTTACGAAGCTTTAAATTATATCATTTTATATTTCAGCCATGTGATATAGACATTATTTCTGATAGTTTAAATTTATTTAAAAAGAAAGTATTTAAATATTTAGATTAGTTTTTTTTCTTCTTTTGTTTATTGTACAACTGAAATGGCTCCTTATATACTCTTAACCACATAAAATTTTAATGGAATAATTCTATAAAAAGCTGTGCATACTTTTAAATTAAATTTATATACAAATAGGCAAAATTATAATGTTAAATAACGTTTTTAAGTAAATTTAGTTAGTAAGCCTTTATAATAAATAAATAAATAAATATTTTAATATAGACATTATAATATACACATTGCATATTTCTATTACTAGTTCCTCCATATTGGCAAATGGAACCATCAGATGGAGCAGTGTTACTTAACGGTTCTCTGACTATTAGCTGTGAAGCGAAGGGGCACCCAACACCAGCTATTTACTGGACAAAATTCACTGGTAGGTGTAATACTGTAATTATTTATTTATCTCTACTTTAAAGAGAGCTTTCCTGTCTAAAGCTTTCACGGCAAAGAGGGGAAAAGCTTATATAAAATTCTGTTAGTACGAAAATTATGAAATTTTCGTGTTGAAATTTTTTTTATTGAATATTTTCTAAACTGTATAGAACTCACCACCTTGTTCGTAATAATAATAATTATTATACAATGATAACCATATTGGCAGTATTTCCTAGTAACAGTGTGTGAAAATGAATGTTTTGAGTACACTTATAAAACTATGTAAGATTTTAATCTATACATATTATAATAAAATTGTTACTAAAGCGAATTTGTACATTAAATATTTTGGAATATCTTATTGAAATAAACATTATTATCGATACAGAGGCCGAATTTATAGTTTTTAGAATTTTTGTCTGTCTGTATGTCTGTCTGTCTGTCTATCTGTCTGTTACCGCATCACAGAAAAACCACTGGAATGATTTTATTGGAGCCGCGGGCAATGCTAGTATGTAGGTATACAATTTAAATTCGTAGGTAGTACAGAAACAGCGTTGGGCGGAGTGTCTGATCCAGTAGTGCTCGGCAACGGATCATTGCGATTGGAGTTGGCTCGCGCGGAACATTCTGGAAAGTATCGCTGTAGAGCGGAAAATGGCGTGGCACCAGCACTGTCTAAAACCCTAACGATACACGTTAATGGCAAGTATAATGTATAAAAATAACCCCTTTTCATATCTACGTTTGCATTAATGCACTAAATGGAAACATAATGACGCAAGCGATTTGAGACACTTAATCCCGCCTCTTAACCGTTTTCCACCACATTTTCTCTCCTTGCATTTTTTTATTTATAGTAATAAAAATGTCATTTAAATGTTGCTTGGTATATCTTTTATTTTATTCGATCTTCGTCGACGCTTCTGTAAAATGCCAGTGACCTACATTTTTGCAAGCGTAGTCAAAAATGTGCCTATAAAAAGTATTTTTATTTTGTTTGAACCCGAATGACCAAAAATATCTTTCAGGGAATATTTCGAAAGCGTTTTAAATATAAAGCTGAAAATTTAAATGAACGCAAAAAGAGATTTTATTTTCATATTCATAACTTATCTTTTGGATACGTACGCAACAATAAATTCATATATTAAAGTAATTATAGTAACACTTAACTAAAATATAGAACCAGCAAGATTTGAAACTCCATCGGTGAACGTCACAGCAAAACTCGGGGAAACAGTTCGGTTAGCGTGCGTCGCGAGAGGTGATAATCCTCTCTCTATGACTTGGAGTCACTCAGGACGAGCTTTACCCAATTCTGATTACAGGTATGCTAATTTTGTGAAAATAATTCCATCTACTCTCGAAAGCTGTCCTACAAATGTAAAAGTTTAGCTTGATAATTCAATTTTAAAACAAAACTTTCTTAGTTGAAACTCGACAAAGAAAATCTTAAAATAAAATTGAATCTACTAGAAAAAAGCAATGCAAGTTAATCCAATAGGACTTCTCGAAGCTTAAGTAAAGTGAAGTATTGCTAATATTTTATTTATATTTTTAAAGTTTCTTAATCTAAAATTGATGTAATGAAAAACAAATAACTCAATGACCTAGAATGAAAGAGGTCATCATTCGCAATGGCCCCTAGAATGAATATTTGAGAGGCCGGAGCGCGGAGGGACTACGTAGTAAATTGGTGATCGAGAGGGTTGATAGAGTACACTTTATTCTGGAATTTTATCTTCACATGAAATGAAAAAACCTATGTACATATATCTAAACTTACATATATTATGTGATAGTTGTTAAGCATATTATATCATATAATTATTACACATTAGATCTTTTACACAATGCCATTGTATTTGCCATTTTTAATATTTGAAATTTGGAAATAGTTCTTTAACATTTGTAATAAAAAAACTATTTCCGAAATCAGAACAAACGTGACGAGTTTGAATGTTGACAATATATTGTATGAATTGGCTATAGCGCAAACTTTTGGATAATTGGACGAATTGTAACTTTTCTTATTTTACAAGCACTATAGGGATTTTTTACCTATATTCATCCATGCTGCAATCTATGTCATATGAAATGATAACATACAAACATACAATGTTACTTTCCCATTTGTAACCTTAATATGGAAAAATATCTATAATACTTTATATAAGGATTTCTAAACGTATTCTTCTCATGTGACCTAGAAAAATGTGGAAAGCTTTAAAACTCATCTATATATCCTAGAATGAGTATATCAGAGACCCGTAGCGCGGAGGGACTGCGCAGTGAACTAGTGATTGAGAGGGCTGATAGACGAGATTCAGGGGTTTATCGCTGTCAGGCGTCCAATCCCTACGGCAGGTCAGACCACTTCGTTCACTTAGGGGTTCAAGGTAAGTGGATTTTAATGATTGATTTTGTTAATTGACAATATCTGGAATTATTATTATATTTATTATATTCAGATAATAAATACATAATAAAAATAATTTATTAACTTTGAAAGGTATACGAGAATAAAATTAGAAGGTACATATAAAAAAGCACATTCACGTGAAATAAAGTGAGGGTACGGACTAATAACTTTTTTAAATGTACCTATACAAAAATTTCTGAGTTGAAATTTCTAAGCTGTTACTCGTACATTATCGAATAGTAAATATTTAATCCATAATATTCCTTACTTCTGTAACGAAATTTAATCAGATCTAGTAATTTTTACGTTTTCTAAAACATTATCTCGCAATTAAAAGGAGAAACACAATAACGTAATTTTTCTTTTACCATTTTTGTATGATATAATAGAACTAGATTCTTCATTGATTGATTGTTCGAAGGATCTATTTGTCCGATAAATAGTCGGGTGAATTAAAAATGTTTTTCGTCCGATTAGTGTCAGTTTATTATCATAACTGAGAGTTTTATTGTGTACAACTGTACAGGTTATACATATTTTTTTTAAATATCGATAGTAAAAATATGAAGTTGTGAATGCAAATAAGGTAGAATGAACTTAAAAATCTTTATAGCCCGGTAGGTTAGAATTCTTTTGTTTTATTATGACGCAAAATCATTCTCCTAAAAATTTAAATATTTAGCACTGTAGGTTGGGGCTGTTTTCTTTTGCACATAAAAATCTTTTCTCAGATCTAAAAAAAATCTTTATAACTTGATAGGTTGGGATCAAAGAAATTTCAGTTTTTATCTCGATCGGGTAAAATGTTTTTTTTTGCACTTACTTTGCCCCTACAACTTGATAATTGCTCTGATTAGATAAATTGGTGCTGTTTAAGTCGTTGCTATTAATAATCATAAACTGGCAATAGTCAAACATATAATTGTTTTTGTAATCACCTGATAATAAATATCGAACGAATAGAATCTCTGATTGTTTATGGTTATTGGGTATATATTTGAAGCAGGTAGAACTAACTTTATATGTTGATATTTAATAATTACACGTGTACATATAAAAACAAAATACATGAGACAACAAGTCAGCTTTAGAGCTAAATGTAGCATAAATTATAAATAAGAATAATTTTTATAGTGTTTAGCAATACATCTATGTTAGTTAAAAGAAATGTAGTTATTTGTAATGTCGTGGAATCTTGCAATAATTCTATCTCAGTTATGAGGAATTATTACAAGATTCCGCGACAGGACGCAATCAGTGGCAAAACGTATATGTTTTAAGTTATTGTTATCTGATTAGTAAAAATCTTGGCCACATTCATTCATCCACTAACAACGATCAAGTCAAATCAAGTCTAAGTCGCGTTTATAAACATGATATTTTGCATAATAATTCTTTATGCTATATCGGGAACGTTACTTTATGTGGAAGTTCATCATTTTTGAAGTTAATATTTAGAGTTTAGGCTTTTGTTTCTAGGTAAAAGTTAGATTGCATTTGCAATATCATCCTTAACGGGGTTAATTAATAGGGAAGTAAAGTTTCCATAGAGCGCACGCCACACACACACACACACTATTTTTGTATATATATATACAATAAACATTTCACCCCGTTACACATTTTTGTTTACTCAAAACTAATTTTAGACGAGCTCATTTAAAATCATTCGTAGCCACTTGAAAAGCACACAGAAAACTAATAAACTCAAGTTGTTGAGATCCTTGGCCAGTATTTTCTCTCTTGCCAGAGCGAACGGCGCTCGTAATGTTCATGTAAACAAGCAAAGCGTAAAAGTGCTTAACATAGCTTGTTTACTGTGCAAACCTCTCAAATAAAGTTCTATGTTTTAAACTCTTTTATAATTCAAGGAGTTTTCACTTAATGTTTTGTGCTTGTCTTCACATTCACCCTCCCATTATTACTCGTATCTCATTTAATAAAGTTAAGAATAAGAAGAGTATTAAATTTGACACGAAATAAAGTTACATTAGTGTTATTTTAAGGATATTTCTGTTTAGTTTATAGCCATTAGTCATTACGGTATGAGCTAACTATAGGTTAGATTACGTAAACCCTTTAAATCTATTCGACGAATTGAATCAAATTATTTTATTTTAGACTTACCTATACAAGAACACTTTACTTATTTTTTTAAATCCATAAAATTTTAATGTTCAATATTTTTATAAATTGTAACGCGCCGCTAGTTTAACCAAAGACATCGAACGCCTTCGTAAAACCTCTGTGGTGTTCGTCTACGCACGCACGGCTATGATTTCTTGTTGTGTGCATAAAATTCTATAAATTAATTATTGGCAATATAACGATTAATGCAGGAAAAGTTTTTCATTATTTTATAAAATATTTTCGCTGTAAAGCGTAAGCTGTAAGCTGTTAATTGAGAATTAAAAATTTAAGTAAACAATCACTTCGTGCTACGTTCATACATTCTACTACATTTATTAGTTATAATAAAAAAAACTAAAACAAAGCAATACAATAATAACTTAACTTAAGAAAGCTTCTTAAAGTAAGCTATTACTCATAACTAACAGATTGTAACTTTAACTACTCGATCTTTAAGAGCCACCAGAACCGCCGGCAAACTTTCGAGTTCTAGACACCACCTCGCGCTCGATCCGTCTTCAGTGGCGAAGACCGTATGATGGGAATTCCCCGGTACTAGGCTACGTAGTCCAGTACAGGAAACATGACTCAGGAAATCCTGACGCCTGGAGGGACGCTGACACCCATAATGTGTCCGTTAACGCTCATAACATGGACACTTACACAGAGTAAGTATCAAAATACAGTTGAATTCTTTTATTTAGTACTCAAATTTTCTTTTTCTTTCTCGTGTTGTTTCTATCCAAAAAATGGAAAATTACTTACCGCTCCCTCAGTAAATATAAACACTATGAAGTAAGAAAATATATAAAACTTTCGTCTTATTGTAGGGGAGCCCAAGAGGGGATTTTCTGTAGTTACTCGAGCGCGGCAGATTAACATAAAAGAGGTTACCTTGCACTCTATTGAGTACTTTCACCATAATATAAGTCTTCTATATAAAGGGGCGTGTCTAGGGAAGCCGATTAAAATATTTAAAAAATGTTTTGATGAGGTAAAAATACTTGAAACCGTCAGATTAAGGTGTGGTAGGCTAGTCACATCCTGAAAAGTGTCCAATTTAATAATCTGCCGATTTGCACAAGCCTAAGAGGCAAAAATCATCATAAACTTTATAGTCGATTTTTGCCTCTTCGGCTTGTGCAAATCGGCAGATTATTGAATTGGTCACTTTTCAGGATGTGACTAGCCTAACACACCTTAATCTGACGGTTTCAAGTATTTCTACCTTATCAAAACATTTTTTAAATATTTTAATCGGCTTCCCTAGACACGCCCCTTTATATAGAAGACTTATATTATGGTGAAAGTACTCAATAGAGTGCAAGGTAACCTCTTTTATGTTAATCTGCCGCGCTCGAGTAACTACAGAAAATCCCCTCTTGGGCTCCCCTACTATTATGTCATTTCTTAAAATATAATATTTGTATTTGTAATAGTAATAAAACATTTATTTATGACAATTACTTTTAATTTCAACTTATATCGAACCATGATCGTAATCAAACAATTTCATTTGAAAGCGTCCCTTGTTTGTATGCAAATAATTGTGCAATTTGTAAGTAAACTTATTTAAGTAAACTTTAATCTTAGGACTGAGGACGCAACAATATCGGGGCTTGAACCAGCGACAGCATATTTAGTGCGCGCGCGCACAGTAACCGCACAGTTTGCCTCAGCGCATACGCGTGCGCTCCTTGCACTTACACTGCACGAACCGCCTGCACGCGCGCCTGTTAGTCTCCGTGCATCTGCCCCGCGAGCATCGACTATAGAGCTGGCTTGGCAGGTATAATTAATTAATCAAAACTATGTTTGTTGTAAAGCATTCAAAAGACTCAAAATAAAACTGTGACAAAATTCGATACCATAGTTTATTCTAAATTCTCATTTACATATTAGAATATTCGCTCTGCACGTAGATTTTATCTAAACTTATAGTAGGTACTTATGTCTTTTAATGACGGCAGTTATTTTAAAGTAATATATTATGGATACTGTAGTCGTCCTAATTGAAATATTCCATTGAATTCAATCCAACTATCACCAATTTCACAAATAGAAAATAGTAAAGATGCTTGCAGTATCTAGTCATTTGATAAAATGGAATTATTACAAACTATCAACGTCTAATTTTTCCCACTACAAAGCCGGTACATCGATTCCAAAAATAAAACAAGTAATGTGTAAGGATTTTTAAATTAAGCTATCATTTCGAATGTATCTCTCGTGACCATGAATTGCTGTAAAGCATTCGAAATGTCGGGGACGAAAAATCTAAATAAATCCGCGAAAAAATCCGAAAAAACTGTTTTATTTAAAATGTCACATATGTGCATATATGTATTTACAGGTCTAGAAATTTTTGGCTTTACTCAAAATAAATGTAATTTTAATAAATTTTATAACTTAGGCGCCGCCAACGTCGGCGTGGAATGGAGAGTTATTAGGATACACGGTATGGTGGTGGCCCTCTGCTGACGGCTCGCTATCGGGAGGCGCAAGTGTTGGAATGGAATTTGCCACTGTTAGGGGGCACATAAATAAGTATACTATAGAAGGTCTGGAACATTATACAAGGTTAGTGACGTATTAAATTAAAATTTTAATATATAAATTGTATTTTTAAGAATAATTAATAATTATATATCTTCTTGTCTCTTTCTGTAGATATTCAGTTAGTGTTAGAGCGTTTAACAGCGCAGGTGCTGGCCCAGCGACGGCGCCTGTCAATACACTTACTCAAGAGAGCGGTAAGTTTAACAAAATTTCAAGTTATTTATCTCCAATTTACACAATCGTTTGGACTATAATTACTCAAAAGCTTACTTTTATTTTAAAAAAATCAGTCATATAGTTTAAGAAAGCAACAAAGTCAAGCACAAATCGATTTTTATGTATGTAAGTATAATGAATAAAGCTACCCCTATATTTTCCTAGTGCCCTCCGAAGGCCCTCGAGCAGTAAGATGTAGGGCAGTATCTCCACAAAGCTTGAAAGTCGAATGGTCCCCGCCGCCGGCGCACGCGCATCACGGCGCTTTGTTAGGATATAAACTGCTTTATCGACCGGAGCACAGTGAGTAAATTACGGTATATGTCCAGGACATTTACGAACTCAATTAAATATACCTGCCTAATGATATCATTTATTATCCCAATGGGTATATTTTTGTTTATTATTTAATATCAAAACTTAAAAAAAAACGAAAAGTAAAGAAACAGTAAATATGTGATATCTATTTAAAATTGCTTATATAAATAAATGTATAACGGAATCAATAAAGCAATACAATTTCTAAGCGTGACTTTCCTAGCTGAGTGAAGGCAGTTGTTTGTCGGCAGCGGCAGATTGGCTGGAGTGGGAAGTACGAGGGAACGGTAGTCCGAGTGTTACTACAGGAGCCGAAGTTAAAAGGGTAGCAGGAGTTGAGACACTGCTATTGGCTTTAAAACCACATATGAATTATACAGTGCAAGCTCTCGCGTACACTGCGGCTGGAGACGGAGTTCCCGCTCATCCTATACATTGTATTACACAACAGGATAGTAAGTTGAAAATCCAGTGCTAAAGTCCATCTATAAAGTTTTAATATAGGTATCATTTAATAATCAATTTATCTCTAAAAAAAAAATTTTACACGACAATGTTACATACATTTCTTATGAAAAAAAGAATAATGTTTAACAAGTTAAGTCTTGAATACGTTAATTGTATCATTAAATTATGTTAACTCACGGATACAATTAACACTCTGGAAAAGAGTATGCTTTGTAAATATACTTATCTACTAAAGTAGTACGTACATTAAGTAATTAAAATGAGATGAGCTATATAAGTGGCGGGAGCAGAAACGCCATTACTTGCATAACAAATACATTTTATTGTTCATTATACTGTAAAGTATACATATTATTATTATTGTTATGAAACATTAGAGAAAAATGTACCTTAATATTCGTTTACGACATAATTATAAATGTTAGTGCTGCAATTTTCTTCAAATGTTAAAGCTGCCGCAGACTGCGGACTTTCTACATGTTTAGTCGGGTTGGTAATCAGTATTTAAAAGATGCAGTCAAAAAACTTTTCACAATGGTTGCACTTGAATACATAGAATGAATTCTAGTCATGACTCCAGTTAAACCACCGGCCGATAGAAAGTATTCAGTGTACGGGCACTGTAAATGAGATGTTCTTACAGCGCCAGGCCCACCCGCCGCTGTTAAGGTGATAGCTACATCAGTCACATCTCTAGCCGTCAGTTGGCTGCCACCAACTCGACCTAATGGACCTGTTTTGTACTACACTGTCTTTTATAGAGAACTTGGGCGGTAAGGAACTAAATTGTATTTTCCACATATCTAGCTCGCATATGACTTTTAAAAAATCATGTGTAATAATTATTATAGACTAGCAGAACCCGCGGCTTCGCTCGCGCTAAAACTACAAAAAAATAAAAAGGTAGTTTCACACAAACTTTCATCTCCTATTTTACCCCCTTAAAGGATGAATTTCGAAAAATACTAAAACACGTATTTATTTAATTTTATTGAAGAGTTTAATGCTCTACCAAGTTTCAAGTCATTCTGATCATAAATATTTTTTTGGATTGTATTATAACGTATTTTCCCGTAAAAATTAGATAAATCTCCCGCGGTAAAAAGTAGCCTATGTCACTCTCCAGCCCTCCAAATACATCCATACAAAAATCACGTTAATGCGTCACTCCGTTTCGACGTGAAAGAAGGACAAACAAATAAACAAACACACACACTTTCACATTTATAATATTAGTATGGATTCTAATGAAGTATATAAAATAATACAAAAATAATATGACGTTTTGTTAAATAATGTATTTTTAAATATTGTATTGGATTTATTATAGATATCTTGTATATCATTTGTAGCTATTTTTCTCTCTAGTATTTATTAAAGAATTACATACTTCTAGATATAAGTCTTCCGATATATTTTAGGGATCGACCTCCACAGACCTCAACAGTTCAAGCAGAAGATGGTGAAATGTCAGTAGGGCTCGGTGGTTTTACGGAGTTACGATCGTTATCTGAAAGTGCAACGTACGAGGCTTGGGTCGCGGCACATTCAGCGGCAGGAGAAGGAGAGCCGTCCGCTCCTCAACCAGCGACTACCACATCTAGGGGTACTGAGCTAAAGTTTATATTAAATAAGCTTTTTTACATCTTTTATATTTTTCCTTTATTTTAGATAGGATTTAATGATTTTTAATTATTTGAGTCCAGTTATTTATTATCTAATAGTTTTTTTTCTGAAGCTAGTTGACTATGTATGTCGATAAATAGCTATTACAAAATACAAAATATAGATTTCTATATGGAAAGGACTACATATATTTTTTCTATGGATCTATTAGGAAGAACAAATTAAAAATTTGATACATAGATAGATGATTCATTTATGGATCATCAAATCAAATGAAGCATAAATAACTTACCTGATTTCAAAGATTAATTTTGGCAATTTAAACATTTTTAATGTTTAGCCAAGTATTGATTAGTAGAATATTTTGTTTTAGCGGCAGTAAGGCTATTATCATTTGGTGTTTGGGTCCGAGTTCAATGTGGTCATTCGCTAAGGCTAGCTTGTGCTTCGCGCGGAGAGCCGGCGCCGCGGGCGAGGTGGCTTCGCGGAGACCGGCCTATAACCCATGACCCGAGGACTCATGTCACACCGCATGGACCCCTTGCTATACATGGTGAGATACTATGCAACAAGATTGCTTAAAGAGTTGACTGGTTGTTCGATGATAACTTAAATAGTTATTATATAACCCTTTTTAACACCTCACTGCTGGGCAGGGGTACTCCCTAAATGCTAGGTTGATTAGGCCATTGTTCATGTCACTGGCCAAGTGTGAGCTAGTTAGACTTCACATATCTTTTTAAAACTTGTTTAGTTCTCTCGGACATGCATTAGGAATCCTGCCTGCCTTCGCCGTAAGGCAATTATGTCCACTTAAATTAATAAACTTTGTCATACTCTTTTATATAATATCGATAAAAATATTAAAAGTTGTTACTAGTAATGCTGTTTTCAAGACTATCACGTCATGACGCTATTAAAACCATAACGAAATTGTGACAGAAGTAGATTCATCGACAAGTGGTAACTACACGTGCTCCGCTCGCAACTCTTTCGGTTCGGAGGAAGCGACGTACCGTGTGGAGTGCGCATCTCCTCCCGCCGCGCCCTCCCTGGTTCTAGAACGTGCTGCACACAACGATGCAAAGCTCTCATGGCGTACTACTCACCATACATCTGCGCCGCCGCATGGTATGTTTAGATTTTTTTATTTACTATTTTATCTCGTTCAATGTATCTTTTTTATGTTGGGTAACGCATACTATCTGTATACATACAAGCGGTTATGTGAGATTAACCGGCCAAAAACGCTAGTACTAGTAGTACTACCCACTATAACTCAACGGAACCTCTATCATTTTTATTTGAACATCGAGTAAAATATGTAAAAAAATATCAATTTTCATCAATTGTAAACTGAATTTAATTATTAAATAAATGAAAAGATCCGTCATGGCAGATGAATAATTACTTTTAAACTAATTTGGATGTCACATATTTACAATTCATTTTATTCATTTCAACTATTCGGTGTACTCGTAGTATTAGACTTTAAAATATTTAGATATTTTCACTCGTTGTTTTGTAATGAATTTTCATAATATATTTTTTTTTTTACTTGCGAAATATCATGACCATATCGCTATGAGAAGTAAAAAGGAATTAACTCCATTATTAAAATTAAAAAAAAGAACGGAGAAAAATAACATAAGACTTAATTACAAAGTAAATTAATATTTTATTCGCTTAATTGTTAATTTTCGCATATTAAAACTGAAAACAGATACTTTAATTGCTTCATTATTTTTAACAGTTCAACTATGAATATAAAATTAAAGGTGTAAACGAAAGATTGTTGGAAACATTATACACCTGAAATGACTGCAGAAGTAGTTATTGTAGCTTCTAATATTTTTAAACTGTCGTCTCAAACAAACTCACAACTCCCCGAGGCCTAGCCTAATAGAATGCTTAAAGTTAACCCTTGTTAGTTTTAAACTTTATTACATTTTCCTTACACTAAGTTGTACATAGCTAAATGAGGTACATACGTAAATAAAAAAAAACACTTTTATAGTTATACTTTACTTTTATAATAAAAAAAAAGATAGGTCGTAGTCAATGATTTAGAAAATTGAAAAATGTATATAACGTACGTAGTACATAATATAAGCCATATAATGAACGTTTTTTAGCTATAACTATATTATGGTAAAAAGAACTGCGTATGCCATAGTTTGTCAAAATAAGCCTATTCCTGTAAAATATAAGCATAGCTGCCATGAGAAGGCTGAACCCATACTCTTTTATTTATCCAGCTTGTGTCCTCATAAAGATTTAAGGTAATCGGTTTAAAAAAGTCAATGCTCATGCATCAATGCATCACGGTACTCCGTACGGTAGTTACAGAAACTAGCGCCTTCAAACAAATAAAAAAGCAAACTATTCAGTTTTTATAATACTTACTAATAAAGATATCATAATTTCTCTTGAGTAAACAGTTTTTATTAATTTTCTAATATGGCCGCCAAATTTATAATATATTTCCCTATAAAATATATTTCTTTTGTTTACTGACTCTATACTTTCTACAATATGTACCAAATATCAATATCCTTTTTATAATATAAACATAGTTTGTTATACTATAGTCCCAACATTTTAAACAGGTTTTACAATATTTTGGGTGCGAGTTCGGGATGATAGCGGAGAAGGCATAGAACCAAGTTCACGCGGCGAAGAAGAGCGTAGGATAGAAGCGGGGGGTGAAGCGGGTAGCGTTATACTTAGAGCTCTGTCATGCGGTGCTACGTATTCTGTTAAAGCGGTAGCACACTCAAGAGCTGGATCTTCGCCTCCTTCAGCTCCTTTACTTGTTCGAACGAAACCTCCAGGTATTTTATGTATAAAAATGTATATAGGTATAAGTCAAATCTTCCATCTTCTTGATAGAATCAAGTGTTATTTTTCTTAGTTTAGAAATTATTATATTTTTTCACTCCACGTCATAAAAAGAAAAACTAAATATAACATACCCTTTTACACACGCGCATGTCCTTGGTTTATTTTTAGCCTTTAATTTTTTTTGTATAATATTGCGAAGTTATAGCATTAACTTCAAACAATTTAAGTAGCTATTTTAAGAAAATTTATTCAATTCCTGATAGAACTAGTTTCTAGTACGTATTCGTGAAATTAGATAGAACATGTCGAATTTTGTGGATTGAACGTGCTCGACACGTGATTAGCCTTGTAAAGAGGCGTTCCAAAGGGAATATCGACACCGAGATTTGTATCTGTGAAAAGCCAACACAAATGTACACCGATAGCTGAAGTTTGTTATGTCTGGATAAAAGTTCTGCATTTCTATTGCAATGATTTCAAAATAGATATGAGTTTGGAGAGTTCAAAAAATACTAGGATTTTCTGTTAAGCATAGTTTACTACGATTAAATAAAATTTGTATAGAAGATGGCCCTAAATATATATTTAACACTTTCATAGTATTAGTGTGGGAAGGCGGAGGAAATGTAGAAAGTAGTCAAGAAGAAGGTGCAGAAGCTGCTATATGGAGTAATAGTAGCGCATTGGCATTGGATGCGCGTAGAGCTATCCGTTGTGGAGCCAGGCTTGTGAGGTTGCAGTGGCGGAGAGCTGATGTCACCGTTACTTGGAGAGATGCGGACTTAACTTCCTTACATCATCATCGAGAGGTGAATATACTAAGTTATTCCAAACTAAGTAAATATTACTCAATTTCTTTTTAATTATTCATTCCAATATACTTATATTTCCATCATATTTATATAGATTTAAAAAATCAAAATATATAAATTGTGAGTGTTTTAACAGGTATTAATTGGTGGGCTAACAGTAAGCACATGGTATGCTCTGAAACTATGGACAGCCACTGAATCTGGTCGACATCAGGCTGTAATTTATGCAGCAACTACGACACATTCTGGAGGTAACTATCAAAAACTACAATTTTAATGTTTAGCATTTAAATAGTGTCATGAACCGAGCTTACATCAACAATAATTAATTTTATAAACTTGAAGAGTTGTTTGTTTTTTTTTTGGACGCAATAATCTCTAAAAGTACTAGACAAAAACTTTCTAACATCTAACATCATCTATTATCCTTAGGATCTAAGCAATAATATATAAATAACGTGGATTGAAGTAATAAAATAATTACTTTTATAAGTACGCCTACAAAACTTATATTAAGATTCAAATATATTTCAATATGTATTTCCAAATAAATTTATTTAACACAACAAAATTTATAAGTAAATTAATTTGGTTTAAATTTTTAGCATCAAAAGAAATATGTAAAGAACTAGTACTTAGTTCAACTATTTAATAATTATTTGATGAATTTGAAACAAAATACCATTCGACACAGAACGTCTGCGTCGACCTGTGGCCTTCCAATCGGAAGGCAGTCCGACAACGACGATGAGTAACGGCGACAATGCGGACCGCGTTCTAGGCGCTCTTTCGCTCGCATTTGCAGCGCTCGCTGCAATAGCCGTGTCTGCTTTACTTCTGGTACTTATGGCTAAGAGAAGGTGAGGTTTATTATACTTTTTGTTTCTTAAAAGCACTATATTCTACGTTAAATAAAAATTTTCACGTACTGGAACATATTGTTATTATATCTTAATTCTTAATTGAATCATGAATGCAATTTTAATTAGCCAAACCGGCATTCGTCAAGCCGTGTCAACGTAATCGACAAACACTCCTCTTTTTCAAATCGGTTAAAAAGGTAATATTTGAGATTGTTACTGATGTTATATTAGGGATATCATATCTTATAAAGTATTTTCTTTTCTTTAATATCCCGTATAACAGTAATGAAAAAAAGGCATTATACTAACGTAAATGGTGCTAAATACTTTTGCCTTCGGTTTTGTAGGTCACTCTACGCTTTTGCTAAAATTTGACTGCATTATGCTCAAATAAAATTAACATAAGTACATTATTTATTTTAATCATACATATAATAAAATAGTAACAAAGCGAAATCTCTACATGAAATATTTTTTAAGAACAATGACTGATACGTGTGTAGGTACAGAATAAACCCCAAAACAATAGCTATTGAAATATTTGTCTTTATGTCAGTTTGTCTGTATATTTGCTCACTTTTCACTTTTTTCATATTGTGTAGTGATAACTTATTACTCGGACCAACATTTAAGTTAACTGTTACTACAGGAAAATATTTAATTCCCACGGGAAAACACAATTTAGATTGAATATTATTGATTGGTTTATATTTTTATAAAACTATTATAGAATTAAGCTAAAAAAATACTAAAAACAGCTGTTATTGTTATTACTTTTTACATTGAGTTAATGTTCTTTCGGCTTACTTATAGACCAGAGTTGATAATTTTTGAAACCAAAAAAAATAATAGTAGGATGCAACCCATTAGAAAAGGAGGGGAATATTATAAAAATGAAAGGAAAAGTAATTTACGGGCGATTTGAGGTCGGGAAGGGGGTGGGGGGGAGCTTTTAAGGGTAAAGAACGGTTTTTCTCGATTTCCGGCAAAACTAAAAGTCCTATCGAAAAAAATCAAATAGCAAAGTTGTAGGTAATAAAAATATCTAAAACTTTTGTATTTACACTTTTTTCACATAACCTCAAAATTTATGTGAAAAATTCTAAAAACCAAGTTTTTGGTTTTTTATTTTTATCTTTTACAAAAATGTTTTTGTTTTAACGAAATTTGGTGAAAACTTACCTTTTTATGTCCCAAATACGCTGTAATTTATTTAATGAAAAATATTTATTTTTTCACCTTATTTTGAATTAATATCGAAAAAGCACCCTAATTTTCAATCGAAAATTCACCCGTCGAAATATCAGCTTTTTTCAAAAAGTTGGTGTGTTTTCTGTTCATTGAAATCTCTACTTTCCGATGGTGACAAAATCGAATTAATATATTTTTTATGTATAAATATATAAAAAATATGTATAGTATAGATTTTTAATATATTTATAATATATTTTTTATACATTTTGACATTTATTTCTTTAATATTTTTTTTTCATGGGGGTATACTCACGATAGAATAGTGAAGGAATTATTAATTCAATTTTGTCTTTTCAGATTATCAGTATGGATGAATCTGTTTGTATCATCTGCAATAAGGCAGATGATAAGCAAGTGTATGAAATAAATAAGGTTTTTTGTTTTTTGCATTTTCTCAGAACATTTACTATAGTTACATATATATTTTTTCACCATTGGAAAGTAGACATTTCAACGAACAGAAAACATACCAACTTTTTGAAAAAAGCTGATATTTTGACGGGTGAATTTTCGATTGAAAATTTGGGTGTTTTTTCGATATTAATTCAAAATAAGGTGATAAAATAAATATTTTTAATCAAATAACTTACAGCGTATTTGGGACATAAAAAGGTAAGTTTTCACCAAATTTCGTTAAAACAAAAACATTTTTGTAAAAGATAAAAATAAAAAACCAAAAACTTGGTTTTTAGAATTTTTCACATAAATTTTGAGGTTATGTGAAAAAAGTGTAAATACAAAAGTTTTAGATCTTTTTATTACCTACAACTTTTCCATTTGATTTTTTTCGATAGGACTTTTAGTTTTGCCGGAAATCGAGAAAAACCGTTTTTTACCCTTAAAAGCTCCCCCCCACCCCCTTCCCGACCTCAGATCGCCCGTAAATTATTTTTCCTTTCATTTTTATAATATTCCCCTCCTTTTCTAATGGGTTGCATCCTACTATTATTTTTTTTCACTTTTTATTATTTTTAAAGGTCCCCGGTCTATTAAAAGGTATCGTAGATAGAAATAGACTCGTATCATATCGACCACAACAAAAATAGAAATCTACGTTTCATCTTAACGAAACCATGATGGAGCCTAAAATAATTTCGGTTTATTGTCGGGGAGCGAACAAAGTATCTAAAACATGGATATGCTATTAAAATATACATAATTAATTATAAAAAGGAACAAAATAAACTATTGTATGTCACTCTTGGCCAGAAAAATGGTATGAGTGTAAAAAATCACATTGATCTATGACTTAAATTTTTTCAATTATGGGGATGATAAAATTATATATATGACTGTAGACAGACATCTAGTCATACATATTTGTCCGTCTGCAAATATTTTTCTCAATCAAAACATTAAATATGAGTAAAAAAAATAAAATAACATGTAGCATTTTTTATAATATAAAAAAGATAAAAAGAGAGTCCGATCCTTTTAAAATTTGTATAAAAACTCAAGGCTATTTAACCATTATACAAAAGTGAAGAGCTTGTAGAAATTTATACTTTAATACTCCTCGGTACATCTGGTACGCCGGATGTCGCGAATGTTCATGTAAAACTTAGGAAAAATGCGGCCACCAGAATGTATGTTATGTTATATTTCCTGTGTCTTTATATGCCACCGGGACGAATATTAATAATGTTGCGTGTACATAATACGTTTTACTTTTTTTTAAATTATAAAAATAATAGCTTGAGCTAAGTATTTAGGGTTTAAAATTTCTTAACTTCTGTATCCGCTTGTCCGTTACTTATTTTCAGGCAACCTAAGATCCTTTTGCTTAATTATTTATTGTGTAATAAATGCTTTAAAAAGTTAAAAGTGATAATGATACAAAACGGTTACATTTCAAACGTCAAACGTTACTAATATTATAAATACAAAAGCTTATTTCTTCTAAGTTTTTTCTTATCTTATCTCGTGCGGGAACGGATTGAAATTATTTTTACATAGAGCACATATTGGCTGGAGATTGACGTTAGTACTTGGTAGCAATTTTTTATTGCTCTTATAAGTGATTGCCAGGGGATATTATTTTGTTCCAACTTCCACGAGTTACCAAGCAAGCGAAGATAAGGCGGGTCGTTTAATAATTAAAAACAGGTCTGACACACAATTATTTTAATATAGTAATAATGTAAATATCATGTAGTTTAGTAATTATTAAAGTTAAAAGATTAATAACAATGCAAATATATATAAAGAACTGGTCTATATATTTACTATATTATGCACTCATAGAATTCATCAAAACACTGATCGATACCAATATACTTATACTAGCGACTTACCCTCACTCCGCTCGGGTTCGTCCCTACTTACGTTTTAACCTTTATATTTATCTATATGTACTTATATAACGTATATATAGATTTCTCAGTAAAAATTATCCTATATATTAAGCCGGATAACCAACTATCATCATCTCAAATTTCATCAAAATCTCTCCAGAAGTTTTTCCGTGATGTGGTCACAGACAGACAAAAATTCTAAAAACGAACTATAGATTCGGCCTCTGTATCGCTAATAATGTTTATTTCAATAAGATTTTCCAAAAAATATTTAATGTACATATTCGACTCAGTTACAATTTTATTATACGTAGGTATAGATAGTTATATAATAATGGTTATATATACATTCGCTCTTTTATCGATAGACTTCAAAAAAAGAGGAAATACTCGAATGTATTTTTCATTTGTGTCTTCACCAATTAGAAATCGATATTCATATAAGAATTATAATAATGGTTACATCAACTTTATATATATATATATATATATATATATAGTGCTACTAATACATGTGTATATTCAATTTTTAACGGATGGATAATTAAATTTTAAGTTATTTTGAAGTCGACGCACTTTTTTTTCTTAAAAGTGTGTTTACTAGTTTACTACATTACATAACAACTAAGTACTAAAAGTAACTTTTATTGCATAATGCACTAGGATTTGATATAAGTTTGGATTAATTTTAGCACTCTCCTCTCTTGTGGTGATCAAATTGAGGAAGACAATCGTCGGTGCAGCCACTCAGTGGCCAGCACAGACAAGTCCGTGTGTCCGGAACAACAGAACATACGGAACTGCCAACACGACTACAAACATGACAAGCTGTCTCCGGCATCCGGTGAGAATTTATGTACGATGGGTGTTTTATTCTTTTATATTATTTAGATTTTAGCATGATATGTGATTTTCTTTCTTCTCGTGTTTTCATAAATTACACGTACAAATAAAGAATGGGCTTTTTGAGAGGCGCTCTTCTCAGCATACTACGGTTGAAGCGAACGACACAATTTATTTTCGTACAAACGGTAATATATTCGGTAATATTTCAGTAACAACGGTAATAAATTGAATAATAATATATTAGGACATATGAAATGAATATTTCTAACCTTTTTGAAACTAATTTTGAATTTTTGTAAAATAATATGGATTGCATAAATTATGGTTTAACATAAAATAACTTTCAATTAATTTCAAATGTTGTGAAATAATGTAATAAATGTGATTATAATAAATACTGTTATTTGTTTATTTTATTTATACACCGGGGGTGTAAGTATAGAGAGCAGTTTTATAGTATACGAGCAAATAGCCATTTGAAATCCATTCTTTATTTACTTTTTTTTGTATAATTAAAGGCGTACCTTATATTTTTTGTTTCTATTACATTTTTACAGTAGTAAAACCTTGTATGAAGTTGGAAAATATTTTAATAACAAAAGTAAATTCTAAACGCAAAACCAATTAACAAAAATTTTACTTCAAAAGCACTTGTGCTTCCTCAAACTTTCTCATAATTACCTACTCTTAATTTTTACCTTCTATAACGATTACGTGTGCTCCAATCATATTTGGCTTAACTAAATTAATTTTCGTACACATTATATTTCGTACATTCATTATAGTAGAGTACAGATCTAATTAGATTAGCTTTTAAAAGTAAATTTGAGTTAACGAACTGTCAATATATCAATATGTAATGAAATAGATGTATACGAAATAAGTCCATATGCGACTTTTGCTGTGGGCGGCGAGACCGCTGCCACATTAGACCACACTCTGCAATTCCGAACGTTTGGCCACCGGGATAACGACGCGCCGCCACACCGCCCTTGTAGGAAACACCCGCAACGGCACAGAGAACGCGACGGTAAGTATATAAACGTACATTTATCAATTATTATTGTTAATTTTCTAAAACACGCTATTTCTTAATATTTATTTTTCGTTTGTTCGTTAATGTTTGTTCAAATTACCATTATTTTTTTGTGAATGTGCTAAGCATTCTGTAAAGAATTTTGTATTAGAAAATATATTTCCTTATCTTTAATTATATTTTTAATTGGTTGTAACTTTATAAATATAAATAATAATCAATTTCAGAATGAACAGAAGAATGTAAAGTAAACAATTGAATCGAAAGTTACTCTGGAGGGTAAAGTTTTATCAAAGTTTCCAGTAACTTCTGCCGGTCTTTAGAAATCATTGTTTAAAATGTATTCTTATCCACAAACTTTGAGACGCTATCTGATACTGAAAGTGCATAAATCAATCTGGAATAAATTTTCACTTTTCTTAGGTACTAAATAAAATATTATTCTTTCTCTTTAGCTTTTTAAATAAATATATTCGTCGTAAGAAATAAAATGTAGACAATCTATCAAAAATGTCCACTCAAAAAGTAATTCAGAAAGAATCACATGACACCACATAAGACAAGATATGGATAGTGGAAAATACTAGTACCTACATATTATAAACAAAATCAAAGTATCTATCGGTAAATAGTTCCGGGGATGCTCACGATATACCGTATATAACATATTGCTTTATTTTAAAATATGCCATGGGCACCAAAGTTTAAAGAATCGTTAAAAAATATTATTTGTTCTTTCCCATTAATCACTGAAATGACTGAGTTAACTTTTACTTTTGGATTAACGATTTGGACATAGTTTGAGATATCTTACTTTTGGTCGCGTGAAAACTAGAGGTACATAAGTCTACACGAGTCATGATAAAATAGATACTATTGTAACTGCAGAAGTCGCAGATTCGATTTCCGCACAGAGCGGAAGTTTATTATGACCATTCGCCTTTATCTTACTCACAAAGCTGAGAAATAGATGTAAAAAATACATATACATATATTTTATTAATCAATGTTCTTATAGTAGAAAAACACCATTCAGAGTGCGAACTTCAACATCTGACCCGCTACGAGAAGGTGCGGCCGCGGCACTGCGCTGGCACTTCCTATTGCGTGCCTCTATCGCATCATGGTATGACCACTTATGTTACATTTGACTACCATATATTTTATTAATATTATTTAGTTATTAACTTTACTTCATTTAATTTTTTTTACATTTAACAATAGTCAAATATTTTAGTTAAAATACGCATAAAAATAAGAGTAAATCTTCAGCGTCATCACCTTCGCAGAATACAAGTTCTAGCCCTATCCTGCTTTAATTAACGCTAAGAAAGAACTCTATGTATTTTATTAAGGGATATATATATATATATATATATATATATATATATATATATATATATATTAATATATATATATATATATATATATATATATATATATATTCCTTAATAAAATATATATTTTTGAGTGATATATATATATTACAAAATGAATATATTCTAGCACTTTTTCGTTAAGTACATCAAAGTTTTATTTCCGTGAGCCTCATATTATATCCTAAAAATAGAAATGATACGTCGCCCATTAGTATAATTGTGGTTTTCATATAGATGAAATTTCATATGATATTCAGCCTTATGATATTTTCGTAGCATAAAATATATCTAACTATCGCATATCTCACCTCGAATTCTCATCTATCATTCACCTAGCGACTTGTTAACATATTCATGCAATATATCATAAGCTCGTACCTAAGTAATAATGATTTATGATACCGCGCAAATATCACAGGCCAGACTATGTGTTCACACTTGTGTGGACCAAAGAAAGACTTCTAGACTTGTATTTTTATTAGAACTATAAGTATTACACGTACTTTATAAATATTAAAGACAGTGTGTAAACAAACTACATAATAATGTCTCGGAACTATCAAGTATAGTAGAAATTCATTCTCATTAGTTCATAAATACAATTAAATTAAATAAAAATAACGATCAAATAAAATAATAAAAATTTGATTTTCGTTAAAACATTATTTTTTAGTTAAATTTCAGGATTATTAAATATTATTATTTTAAGCTATTGTGACTAAGACGGACGCAAAAAATGTAAAAAATTATTTTATTTTCGTAATGCAAACTCAACATGAAAATATGTAGATGAAAAATCAAAGGATTCGCATTTAACACCGTTTAAGGAATTTGTTTACAATGAGTTTACATTACACTTAGCATAATAGTATAGAGAATACGAGCGACTCACTCTCGCTCTGCTCGGGTTCTTCCTTAGCTTTACGTTTAGTATGGACTTCTCAGAGATGCGATATTTTCGCGCAATAAAAAGTATCCTGGATGTTAACCCGGATAACCAGCTATCATTGTACCAAGTTTTATCCAAATCTGTCCAATCGTTTTCTCTTCCATTTTCTGTTCCCAGACAGACAGACAAGAATTCTAAAAATGATAGATTCGGCCTCTGTATCCATAATAATGACTATTTCAATAAGATTTTCCAAAAAATATTTAATGTACAGATTCGACTCACTTAGTATTTTATTATATGTAAGTATAGATATGTGAAACCTGTGTTATTTTAACATAAGGTGGAGGCGGTAGTGGGGGTGGTGGTGGCAGCCAGGGGGGCTTCTCCGAGGTATATGCGGGGGACTCGAGCGCCGAGTCCGGCCCGGGGTCGCTCTCGCCGCGCACGCACCACGAGCACAGCTAGCGCCACCGGAAACCAACCAACAGTCCTATAGACTCTCAGTTGGTACACTACACGGAAATGAACTGAATACTCCTCTCATACCAAAGCAATGCCTCGTTTTTATAAAACCTGTCAAATAAATTTCGTGTCTATATTTTGTCATTATCATTTAGATGGGTTTGTGTATATTTTTAAATGATGTATTAGGTTTTATTTAAGTTATATTAATATATTCTTTGTTTTAAAGTTTTTTTATTCCATATTTGTAGTTTAAACCTAATGAAGTTTACTTTTAAATATTTTGGTAAGCTATTTAAGAAATATGACATGAAATGAATCTCACATTTGCCATCTACAGATTATATTACTGTTTTATTATATGTATAGATTTGGAGCAAGAGACACTGTATAATGAGAATAGAGTCCTATTATACTGGAATGAGAAAAAAAACTTCTACGAATATTATAGAATAAGCGAATTATTCTCGTTTGGATACCTTTAAGGTACAATTTAATAACAAAAATAATAACCGTGAGAAAAATTTGTAAAGATCTAAGCGTGATGACAATGGAAATAAGTTTAACTTATAAAATTAAATATTATATTAATTCAATAAGTTTTTATCATTTTTACACAATAAAGAAACAAATACTTATGTTTTTTAAAATAGTATGTTTCTTCAAATGGAAACCATTTGAATAGAACATAATATAAGTACCTAATTATATTTGCTACTTGGTGATTCTATATTAAATTAATCATTTATTTTGTAAGTTCAATATTTTCACGACATTTTTTGAATTTTAAATGCTCAATAAAACTTAATTTAATCACAATTTTATAGTAGATTCAAATTTTATTAATAACATAAGAGTTAGAATGCCAAATTTAACAGTATATTATATTTAACAGTATAGTATAGTTTATTGAATTTAAATTTAAATCGCATTTAGAAGATTAAACAAATAAAAATCGTAATCAAAATAAAAGGGCAAACCTGTGAGTGGAAAGGTAAAGACAACACATTTAAATTGCAAAACAGCTCTGATTTATTTCCTAAATCCAAGGATCTAGATGAAATTTAAAGCGTATTTGCCATTACAACGAACGAGATAAAATCAATAAAAGCATTTGGGATCGAAAAGCTTTGCTACATTCCTTTGCTAACGGACTTTAGACATACGCTAATCTTGAAGATTATAGAACCGTTTCAAAAGCCGGAACTCTACTACGAACGCTATATAAAAACAGTCACGAGGACGAAAACTTAAATCTATAAACAAACATTTGTATTTTTGGATATACGAATTAATTGTTTGATCTTAAATTAACATTTACAAATTAAAACGTTTATCTGGTTTTGACATCTATCGGCACTCTTGAGTGTAGCGTTAACACGTCACGTGACCATGTCGATGACGACTTACATGAATTTACTCCCCATCCAAACCTGCCTATAGAAGTTTTTACTTCAATAACAAAATTATACAAGCACATATCGACCTCTAACTAGGATATAAAAGTTATATCATCAAATAAAATTAAAATAATAAAGAGACTAAGTTCTTTGAACACTGTAATAGTTTCTTGTCTTCTGGATTAGACATTGAAATCTTACTAATAATTACGCTTCAGTTTACTGCCATTTTACAATAACTTAAGATAATAGAATAAGATTTGTTTATATACAATTCCGAATAATCAGTATCTTTATAATAGAATGTTGCCATGTTTAATCGATTTTTGAATTTGTCATGTTGTGAAATGTCATACATTTACATAGTTAAGCTAGGTATCTCTATAATGCACTTGAGCGACTAAATTAAAGATCGCTTTAGAACGATATTGAAGAATAATACTGTTGTCGATTCTATAGTTTTAATATGTTAACGCTCAAGTGTAATCGTAAACGTTAGTTACTAATCAAATAGAAATTGTAAATAGACTGATCTTACGTTTAAATGGAGCTTAAATTTGTAAATAAATTTGTAGATATCTTTAAACTCTAGTCAATTTTTATTAAATGTTTTATGACAATATAATTGTATTGTGTAAATATTAAATCCATGTGAATTTTGTTTATTGTAATATAAATTATAATTATTAATATAATAATAATTAATATAATTATCTCAATTGTATTTTATTTTCAAGTCCTATAGTCTTTGTGTTGTCGTGATAGTAAGTTAGAAGTGTTTTGCCTTAACCCATTATTATTTTGTAATAGATAAAGTCCAGAATAATATAGTATGAACAATTTTATATCTATGAAATTAATATTAATTTTAACAACGATGTTTCATTTTCTTCATTTAAAATTCAATAAATCGTAATCATGCATTTCTTATAACTTTATAATATGAAGCAATAATCAAAACAAAAAATCAAAACAATTCTGGCACTGGCATTGGCATGCCTTAAAGCGATAAAGAAAACTAATTTCACAAGTAAAATTAATATCTAGTAGTAAAGTTTTACCTGTTCTACTCACTTCACTCACATAAAGCTTAAAATAATTTAATAAAAATGGTATTTAATGAAAGAAATATTTTATATTAGTTCTTATTTCATAATGCGTAATTTGAACTAAGTTTATGATTTTTTATATTTTAATACAAATATCTTGAAAAGACCTCGCAAAAGGCGTTAATCACACACATGCAAGATAGATTAATACCGATCAGCTACAGCAAAAAGACTTCATCAATCACGCAATATGATAGTTATCCAAGTTATCTTATTTCTCAAATTCTTAGTAATAAAACTTGTATTCAACGTAATTACATACGTTTTATTGCTATTATTTACTAACTTCGAAGCCCAATTGTTTTGAGGATCACTGATCAGGGCCATAATCCATCATATTGACCAAGTGAAGGTTTACGAATTTTACATGTCTTTCGAAAATCACTTAAGATTCATCATTACGACATTTTCATTTATCGTTTGCATGAAATTACTATGTTGAAAATGGTTTGCACATCCGTCAGAAGTGAGGTGAATGGCGAGAATCGGATTTGAACCCACTTCAATTTGTTTTGGCGTTACCAATTAGCTACTTTTGATACTACCACACTAAACTATTAATTACATTTTTTAAATCACTAATATTTCCTATCTTTATTGGTTACTAGCATTGCCCGCGGCTCCGCCCGCGTTCAGATGACCATATACCAAATTCTTAGCTTTTACATATTAATATACATTACATTGCAGTTTTTGTATTTTTTCTCAAAAATGAGACATTTTCCCGTGGTGAAAAGTATCCTATATGTTGACCCGAATAACCAGCTACCACCATACCAAATTTCATCAAAATCCCTTGACCTCTCGTGACCATGGATGCTGTAAAGCATTCGAAACGTCGGGAACCAAAAATCAAAATAAATCCGCGAAATAATCCGAAAAGATAGTTTTATTTAAAAATGTCAAACATTCGCGTAAATCTAAGAAAGTATAATGTTTATTTAAATAAGATTTTTCAAAAAGTTACAATTTTATTATATGTATAGATTAATTTAACAAAATATTTATAGTACAATAATCACTGAAGCCCCAAACATTAGCCAAATGATTTAAGTTATTATTAAATATTAGTCTCAATTACATGTACTCATATACAATGAATACTACAGACTACTACATACAAATACCTACATATATTGTACGAGTACGAGTATGTCTATTTAATTAACACGGCAACTAAAACGAACCAAATAAGAAATAACATATTATACCTTTTATGTATTGTGTAAATGGTTTAATGATTTGTTTTTATTTCTATAAATACCTATTCTATTTCTATCTGAACATGTAATAAGCCCTTGATGCTCAATACTTTACCAGAAAAATATTTCGTAATCCGTTGATCCACTGGTCACTGAGGGGGTGTGGGAGGACTTCAAGCCACACTCTTTCAGAGGGAGTCCATTTAACCGACGCCTCCCTCGGGGTGGCCGATACACGTTTATTCAGGAAAAACCCTCGCAAAAAAGAACACGCCACGAGTATTCGAAGCGAATCGAAAATTAATTATAGCGTTGAAAAAACTTTATTTTTCGTTTAGTTTCTAGCCTTTTGTTCGGTGCAGCGAGGCCATTGTGCGATTTGTTTTAATTTTAAAACGAGAACTGTGAATTGTTTGTTAATTTATACAATAACGTGAAATAATTAAAATCTACAAATCTTGTTAAGCCATTATTTTAGAAATATAACTTACGATTAAGTCAATCAAGATAAATTATTGGAGACAAACTAAGGTACTCAATCTATACGCACAATATATGTATGTTATAATAAATATCTTATTAATATTCTTTTAGAACTAACTAAAAGTTTAAGTGGAATTTTCGCTTTAGCAGAATTTCTTATTGCAATGTAGAGTAGCTTTTAGCCACGGCTAGCTCCATCTATCGTTATTTTTCCAAACAATCATCTACTCGACATCAAGTTCTTGTAGTAATTTCATATATTGATACCTGTCTTATAGAAAGTTAGTTACGATAGCAAACATTTTTTTTTATAATTATGATGAAATAATTAAAATATTTGCAACCGTGCAATTTAATGATTTATTTGTAATGAAATACTTTGAAATTCGATATATTTTCATACAGAAGATAATATTATTTTGTAAAATTAAGAGTGTTAAATTCTTATATTATTGAAACATGCATTCTTTCTTAAAATGCTATAGTCCTAGAAGCTTTTCTTTCCTTTGTCCTCCACCGGGATGGAAGCTTTTAAAGGTTACATGACTTAATGTGTCTCGCGACTCTGCTATTATTTCATTTTGATAAGAATAAATATGTATATCGGAGAGTTGACATTATTGATTTTTACTAAATTCACATCCTACGACATATACGCATATATTTATGTACATATAAAATATAGGTAGCTAATTGGTTTTTACGATAAAAAATATTATAATAGTGATTTTATTAATCTAATTTAGTAAATCCGTTTATTTTTAACAAACTCAGTAAAAATTGGATTGTTTCAAATGTTTTTTGTACTGTAAAAGTAGATTAATAGTTATAACTGAATCCTTTCTTAGATTTACGCGAATATTACACATATGACGTCTATAACCTCAGTCTCTGCCGTGACCATGATTGCTGAACCAAAAATCGAAGTAAATCCGCGAAATAATCCGAAAAGATAGTTTTATTTAAAATATAACTGAATCGTTAAGATATTGAGGTAATATTTGAAAATATTTAAACCTACTTAAAGTCATAGACTACCGAAATTAATCTAAAAGTAATAATGCTCAAGAAAGCATTCATTATAAGTTTGTAAATGATTTTTTTTAACTAAAATATGTAAATATATTCACTTAGTCTTTATTTCTTTAGAACTTAAAGTAAGTTATTTAAAATTAATATCAATAGATGAAGGAGAAATCAATTACACATCTTCAAAGAAGCTTATGAACAAACATTTTGTGTAAAGTGTACAATTATTAAAAATACAGCAGAGGGTTGAGTGAAAGCCTATTTAAGCCATAAAATAAATTTATTTTCATAATTTACTAACATAAAGGTTAACAATTTTGAACTACATTTCCAATGTCTACAAAACAACAAATATGTTGTTAAAGCTCGCGTGTAAATAAGCATCAAGTGCATTCTATTTAATAGCAGCGTTGCGTTCATCGTTGTCTGTAAAGGCAAGATGACTACCTACAGTATCCCTCGCCTTGGAGGAAGAGACGGAATGCTTCTGCAATCTTACTCGGCTGCTCCTCCAATACCATCCCACAGTCCGAAATACTCAGCCAAGAAGTCTTAGAGGGTTCCAAACGGCCGTTAAATGTTACTGTATCGTCAACGTGAGGGGAGAGTGCACCAGTGACGTTTAACACGGGAACTTTAATTGTATCGTTATCTCTAGCTATTGCTAAATCAGATCGGCGTAAGTACGAGTCGATGAACATTGATAGATTCACTGGATTTACGTGCGAAAAGCACTCCTTATAAACGTGGGCTAAATCGTGATTACGGTCGTCTGTGCTACGGCCGAAATGGTGCCACATTAGATAATCAAGGGCACCTTGGGTCATTCCGCTAGATCTTAACTGTCTGGTATTAATTTTTTGGTAAAGCCATTCAGTCCAACCAGCTTGTGTGGATGTACAATTAATTAGAACTAATGCATCAACTTTCTGCGGACTAGCGATAGCGTAACGGGCTAAAATATTAGCGCCCGCACCTACCCCGAATCCTATGAAGGATCTAATTCCAAAGTGACCAAGCACAAAATCAATTTGAGACGCCAAGGCGTCCATGGATGGGTATGAGAAATCTTCAGGCAAAGTCGGCGCGCCCTCCTCTTGACCCGGAGCATTAATGTGGTAAATGCAGAATTTATCCAAAATCGCTCGCATGTCTACAAAATTAAAAAATGCCTGAAAATTGGCTGCATAATTAAGACCGAGGTCATGGTATGTTATTATGGCACGCTTGTTACGGTCGCCTCGGATCGCCACCAGGATGTCTCCGCGGGAAGTCCTCACTCTCTCTTCCACGCATGCGCCGTCGCTCTGTAATCGCCTCTCTGATGGATAATGTAATTGAACACTTTTTAAATCGTCCTCTAAATTATCTGAGGACATCATATTGAGGAGGGCAATGTTTTCGTGTATTGTGGTCGTTGGCATTATGTTTTGTATAATAATTACTGTATGTAAATGAAGCTGCCTATATTATGTATCACCTGGCAACTATAGCTAGTTCACAATAATGATTTATTTATCACTGATCTTATTTTCCACAACGTTATTAGCGTTGATTATCGTAATCCAATACACGCCGTTGTGTCTGGTACCCCACAGTCCATGACTAACACACTATATATACACGTATTAATCGATACAATTATCACTTGTTAGATTATTGTCACTAGATGCTCTTACTTTACTAATTTGTTGCACGTTCACGATATTTTGTTGAGAATATAGCAGGAAATATTCAATAAAAGATGAACTGGGCGAGCGTAGGTCCCAGTTAGCAGTCCGTTCGGCACTAATCGGCAGTTTCCGTTACGTCTCGGGCAGTAGCTCGAATAGGTTTCAACAGGCTCGCGCGATGTTCACGTCTTTGGACCTCACAGCGCATGCGAAAGGGGACGAGTCGATTTTTTATAGTTTATACTCTATTTGTATATTATTACGTAAAGCTGAATAGTAGCTTTAAGTATAATGAAATTACGGATAAGTCTGTCCGGACTTGTAGAGTTTTTACTTTATGCAAATCAGTAAAAACTAAATAGATACTACATAAGCTACTCATATTTTTATTATTAACTTTACGTATTATTGGAATATGTAAATGATTTTAAAATAACTAAAAGTTTTGCTATATGTTTTTAATAAGAAGGCTACCAAAAATGTTAATAAACATTTGTATGTACATATATTATATAAGATCAAGGTCAATAAATCTTATCACATTTTTATGACTAATATTATGCATAGAGCCCATTTAAGTTACCTAGTACCGACTATACTATTTTGGGTAAAAAACTTAAAGTAATTTATAAAATAAGTGAAAAATAAGAACTGAAGCAATGTAGGCAAGTCACGTCGAAACAGGGGCGCTCAATTGACCTCCCACTCCACAAACACATTTCTTATAGTTTTTTCTAGTCTTTTAATAAACTAACTTTTCTAGAACTTTACGCTTTTATCTTAACAATTTATAATCTTTTTTAATAAAATAATACTAAAAAGTCTTTGTCTACGTATAATGTATATATACATATATATAACTATACTAATACTATAAACTAAAAATCCGCTGAACCGATTTAAATGAAATTTGGTATGAAGATAGGTTGAATCTATCCTTCCCAGTGTGGAAGGATATAGAAAAGTTTTCATGTCTGAAATCATCCCTTAAGAGGGTGAAAAGGGGATGAAAGTTTGTATGGGGAATCGATCATTTCTCAAGTAAGGGATATAAAACTTGTGATTGATGATACCTATGTATAATAATATATAGTCTATTAATTCCATACTAACTGTTACAACGTACCGGATACAGTACTCGCTAGTTATATATAAAGAAGCAATCAAAGAATAGATATCTACTATTACTTAATACATAAATGCTTAGAGTATTTATGTGGCAGTTAACTTACAAAAAGAATTATACCAGCAAAATAGCAAATATAAAAAGGCTATAAAAACGGTTTTCTTTTCAATGCGTAACAAAGATGAAAATGTTACAAAATAGGACGTGGACAGTTCTTAAAGATAAAATTTTATAGTTACACGGAGCAAGATATCGCTATTATTCAAAAAATATTATATTTTTATGGATGAAATTAAAAGACGATAATATATACTATATACTATTCTTTATTGCACTTATATGTAAAATACAGAGAGTAACAAACAATAAAATTAGTTAGCAAAGGTGGACTTATCTCTAGAAGAGATCTCTTCCAGTCAACCTAAGTGAGTTAGAGAGATAGTATTAAAATGCAGGCTAAAGTGCAGTAACTCAAATGTAAATACTTAAATAAATATATATTATATATACATATAACAAAACATTATACATATTATATACATAAATATATGTACATACTACTACATACACAAATACATATCTATATAATATAATGCATAATAATAGTAGTTAATATAATTATTGTGGAATAACTTGGGTGAGAAAGTGCTGTTTTATTTTCTTTAATTAGAAGATAAAAGTAATAAGCCTCTTATGAGTTATCTGTTTCTAACTGAAATATAAAATAATCAATTTTCCCAAATTATCCTATGTTTATTTGATAGTAAATGAAATTCGTTACAAAATAATAGTAGAGACATTTTCTCTTGTATTGTATTACAAATATATTTAACATTACAAGGTTTTTACGCACAACAGCAGCTTAAGCGGAGACGCAAACTGGTATATTCCCTGTCCACATTACAAGGATAAGCTTACAATTGGTAGGCGAGTGGACATTTATTGTTTACTTAACTCTGAGTAATAGCGACATTCAGTGTAATCCAAATTAATTTCCCGATCTTAATGAATGACCAAGCTAAGAGATTCGAATCAAGTTTTGTTACAAGATTCGGAATGAAATTCAGTATCTATTTGTAAAAAAATGGTAATTTTAATTGGTTATATTGGACGTTAAAATTGACATTTGCTTGCAAAATCATAATCATATATATAAGCTTTTCCCACGGTTTCACTCGCGTAGTCTATTCATGTTCGACGTTGATTTAAAAATCGTAGTGTGATGTTAGATAGCCCTACACAATAATTATTGAGGTATCAACTGCAAAAAAGGTTTTTTTCAAATCCGATAGGTAATTCCAAAGATAAGCGCGCGTTAAAAAACAAACTCTTTAGTTTTATTATATTAGATAATATATTTGAAATACAATAAAAAAATAAATTAGAATATGAATATGTATATTTTTTTATTACGTACTCGACTTCAACTAAAATGACTCACGGTGACTCACGAAGAAACCCTATGGGAACAATAAACTGGTTTGGTTACAAAAATAGTTTTGAATTATTATAAGTACTAAAATGTACAATGGTTTGCTACTGTAGGTATTATTGATTCCTAATAAATTATAATATAATTTGAATTTTAAATATATATCATGGTGATAAAACAAAGTACCAAAAGCATAAAAAAATTATTTAAATAGTTTTGTAAAATACTTTTAATTTAAATAAAAATTTAAAGCTTTCTTTGGCTTATTAAAAAACAAATCAAAGATAAGCATCGCCTGGCAACAAGCGAAAAGTATAGAGCTGTTAAAAATATTTGCCCTTAGGTATTAGGATAGCACGCTGTATTTTATTTGTTAACAACTCACCCTCGCTCCGTTCGGGTTCGTCCCTAGGTACGTGTATTCTCAGAGATGAGATTATTCCCGCAGTAAAAAGTATCCTATATGTTGACCCGGGTAACCAGCTATCATCATACCAAATTTCATCAAAATCTGTCCAGTGGTTTTCTCGTGATACGTTACCAGACAGACGACAGACAAAAAGTCTAAAAACTATAGATTCGGCCTCTGTATCGATAATAATACTATTTCAATAAGATTTTACAAAAAAAATATTTAATGTACAGATTATTATACGTACCGACTAGACTGTTACTATTCCAATTAATGTCAATAGATATCAGATAATCGCTAGGTACTATTTTTGCGATTTATATATTTATTTAGACGCTTATTTATTAGATATTCAGATTATTTTCTCACTGTTTTACGTCTTCAGCTACATCCAGTTTCGAGAATACATATATAGAGCATGAAGTGTTAGCCTCTACATACATATTTCGTATAAAAAAAATTTGCTTATTGTTAAGAGAAAAATGGATTTCTATATTGAACTATTTTCTGAATACAAAACAATTTATACTAGAAAAGTAAAAACATAAAAGACAAAACAATCATATATATTGTCCCGCTTTATTTGCGTATAAAAGTAATATATACATTATACATATACATTATACATATAATAATAAGCTAGTTATTATATAATATTTCTGAATAGTAATATAAATTTTCAATTTTTATTACTATTCAGAAATATTTTAAAACAGTATTAAAATTACTTTATAATTAAAACAAAAAAAAGAGTTATTAGTACATTGCTTAAAACAATATACGCACAAAAAAAGAAACCGTACGTACAAAGAAGACGTAATATATCGACGATATCATTAAATAAATTACCCCTATTTATTCATACTCGTTATTGCACATCACACAATATGCCGTTATTATACGAATGTGAGTCATTATGGTCATCTTATGTAATATTTTGTCTACCATTCACGGAAAATGTAATTTTTCACAAAATGTTGGTCAATCGGAACTTGTGATATTTATGAGGCTAATCTTGAAACATTGCCAGAGGTGTGTTCCTGTGCCAAGGCTTAACTTTCATTGCTTATCGTAGAGTCCGTTTAAAAAATAGCGCACGGATATTAAATTTTGCATAAGCATTTTAAATGGCTATTAACGTACGTACTTTATGGCTTTTATAAAATAATTGCGTGGGATTGCTTGATTGTGAATATTTAATACACACATAATATATGTATATCTGAATAAGTAAGGTTTGAATTAATTCTAGCTGCATTCAAAGTTTACATTATGGGTGTTAACAACTATTCAACGTAGTAATTTATAGCGGATTTAATTTCTATGCATCGTGTTCAAATATTTGTTTCGTTAATAAGCGTTAAAATTAAGAGAGAATTTTACAGTTTCAGTTTTATTTTTGTATTATTCTATTGTAAATATAATAATTTATTTGATTATAGAGCAAATTTTTAAAATTTACCGAGATACGAATACGCCTTCGGTCCACTCACAAAATGAAACACAAAGCAATGGCGAACGTTAATATTAAATATTAAAATTATTTTGCATTATAAACTGATGTTCAATTGTAGCTATAATTAAGAAATTACTAGGTATATATAATACCATATAAATAATTCAAAGAGTGACATATATCACAATATTATTATTCTTCAACTTTTTCCTATTAACGCAGTGAACTTGCAAGGTAACTAATAGAACTAACTTACAACCGATAGTAACTTTTTAGTTTGTGGATAATGTTATAAAAGTATATAATATGTATAATGTATATGTAC